ACCTTCGTTGGAAACTATGACCTGGATGACTGAGAATCTTCATAGACATCTGCATGAGATCTACTTTAAATATAAAATGCTCAATTTTTAAATTCCAAATTGATTTCCTCTTTGTGTATTGCCCATTAGTGAGAAATGTCTGTTATAAAGACATCATCACTTTTTGCTGTAAGATGTTTCTTCCAATGCAGCAGCTTGTTATATAAATTTCACTTTTTATTGTAAGCCAGTCAGATGTGTATTGAGTTGAAACACATTTGTGACATGTCCCTGCTGAGTTGTAAGTTGCAAAAAATCCTGGTGATTTTGATACCCTCAGAGGATAATATTTTTTTGCATATTTCTACCTAGTAAGTACTTATTTGTTATCAAAATGTAAGTAATTTGTGTTTTGAGTAAGATATATGATAGAATATCAATTGAATTAAAATATTGTTTCTTTTTAAATAAAAATATGAGTTTAAGCATGACACCTGCATCATCAATGCAGTAGCTGTATATTATGGTTCATTGCTGCAACACATCCTCATACCTAAATGACAAAATAGGTTTATTGTCAAGTGTCCCAAAATTACATACTGTATATGGCTGTTGGAAAGTCAAACGACACATTTGACTGTAACCCACAACAATACACATGCACATTTCCAGTATCAGCACAGAGAGGCTGCTGATCGGCCGGTGTCGTGCCAAGGTAGGTACCACAGATAGAAGGCGTTCCCCCGACAGTTGGAGCGCATGCATTCAGCTGTGAAGGAACTTCGAGTTCAACAAAGTAACTGATAAATATAACATGTAGATTGTTTATTTATCCTTTTAGTATTGTTGTTTTATCAAAAAGGTTTTGCAAAGCAAGCTAATGCATGGCTTCCAGATTTACATTTACATTATGTTGAACTTTATATTATATAGCAAAATTTTTTTGCAATAGTCTGACAATGATAAAACTGACCACGGATTTAATCACTTGCTCATCCATGTTACTGTTTGGAAGCTAGAACTAGACCCTAAAATGTGACACTGTAAAATCAAAATAAATGGAATCAGATTAACATCTGTGCATTATAGAGGGCGGATACGTTTTATGGCAGAATGCATGTCCAGCCTGGTAGGACCAGTACTGTAATCGCTTTGTGTGTATGAAAATTTATTTGCAATGCAATATTAAATGATTACGATACTAATCCCCTTCCCCTTTAAGGAGGGGGATTCTGAATAGTTTCCAATAATATCTAAAGGCTATCATTTGCAATGGAAACGTGGATTACAAGGACAAAATATTGTCTACAATGCTGCATTCATGTGTTTGCTGATCAACTAATTATTACTGTGATCTTGATTTTACAGTGTTGACTCCGTAGCTATTGGTAGGAGCATCTTCCTTAGAAAAGATTCATAAGGTCATAATGTGACTCATTGCCTTTACTGTACGCATACCGATCATGCTTACTGTCGCGCAAAGTATAGATAAACGTGGTCATTAGACATTTTTATTGTTTTTATTGTGGGCCTACAAAACCTCTGAGGCTCAGGCCTAACTGCAGGTTAATGCAGGCCTGCAAACAGTAACATGGATGACCAAGTGATCGACTCCATGGTCAGTTATAACATCGTCAGACTATACACTGAATTTATTTTTACTTTTAAGTATTATTACTGTATTTTTAACTGTTTCCAACTGTATAAGCGGTGGACAGTATGTTACTGTAGATTTTCAATGCATTCTGGGAAAATATTACTCTAAATCTAAATACAGTAATATTAACAGACCGCGAAAACCACCACAAACCTCCATTTTGAAATGAAGGACTGTCATCGATTTGAGAATGTTTAGTTTGACACCAGATCTCAATTTTCCTTGCAGCTTTGACATTAGACTGTTCAGGACTGGACTGGATGCAATACGTTAGCGCTGATATTTTATGTGACATTTTACACAGACTCTTCAGTTGTAGCTCTGAATGTGGTGAGTGCAGTTCACTTGTATAAGACCAAATTTAACGTTACAAGAGGCTGTTGAGGGATTGCTGTGTCTGTCTGCTGACCCGGCAGCTGCTTCATAATTAATATCTGATAAGTGGTGAATCTTGAAACAAAAATTGCAGTAACATAACGTTAAGTTAATTGAACTTTCTATTTTATTTAATGGAGCTGTAAGTTTGGGTGTGGAATTAATGTTAACATTAAAGGGGCATTATGGAATTTCCAGCGGCCACTCATGTTGCGGTTTTAAGATTGCAACCAGGCGTGCGCTCGTACACGTGCTCGCTTGAACTCATGAGCGAATAGAATCCAAAACACAAATCACTTTCATAGAGAGATCTCGCAATAAACACAGAAACACCTCACCTAACCTTATCCCCAACCAGGTTTTTACTAGTCTATATGGCCAGTTATAGCTTCTCCAAAGAAGTAAGTATTTTCAGAGAAATCCATTTATACATTGATTGCTGACTGCCTACAACATTGTTAGACTCTCAACTTTAAAACAGATCTATTTATATGTATTAATATATACACACCTTGAGAAAAACACCACCTACTTCAGAATCCTGATTGTGGATTTCAGCTCAGCGTTCAACACAATGTCCCCTAAGAAAATGATCAGCAAACTCAGCACTCTGGGTTTAAATACAACACTCTGCAACTGGATAGTGGACTTCTCACGAACGGGCCCCAGTCAGTTCGGATTGGCGGACTCACCTCCACAACTCTAGTGCTCAACACGGGAGCCCCCCAGGGCTGTGTGCTCAACCCCCTCCTGTTCACGCTGTACACCCACGACTGCATCCCCCGACATGGATGAGACTTCATATGGGGAGGAAATTCATAATCTTGTAGAGTGGTGCTCAGAGAACAACCTACCGCTCAACGTCAGCAAAACCAAGGAGCTGCTCATTGATTTTAGGAAGAAGGAGATAAAGACACACACTCCTGTCGGCATCAGTAGAGCTGAGGTGGAGCAGGTGAATAGTTTCAAGATCCTGGGAATCGGCATCACAGAGAACCTGACATGGTCGTCTCACATCTCCACTCTGGTGAAGAAAGCTAAGATACGACTGGATTTCTTGAGGAAGCTTAAGAAGACCAAATTCCCACGCCAAGTCCTTGTCAGCTTTTACAGGGGAGCAACAGAATGCATCCAGACTGGAAACGTCACTAACATGGGATGTGCACAGCCCAGGACCGGAGAGTTCTGCAGCGGGTGATTAAAACACTCAGAAGATCAACAGAAGATCATTGGTACCCATCTCCCGAGCATCAGTGATATCAGTGAGGTGAGGTGCCTGCAGAGCCCAAAGGATACTAAAGGACAGTTCCCACCTAGCCACAGCCTGTTCACCCTGCTGCCTTCTGGGAAGAGATATAGAAGTTTCTGCTGCTGCACCACCAGATTGCAGAGCAGCTTTCCCCCCCAAACTATCAGACTCTTAAACTCTAGTTCATCCTCAGCACTGCTCCAGTGATGATAGTTTATTTCTGTTGCCATTTTTATAATTAATTGTTTCCTGTCTGCTATGTAGCAGAAGGGAGTTATAAAACTCAATTTCACTCTACAACTTGTTATATTGTGAAAATAAAACCTACCTACCTACCTAAATGTTTGCTTTACTGAGAGAAAAAATGTGGTTTCTTGTTTATACATTCTTGATTCAATAACACATAATGTTAGCCTACAGAAGGCAGAAGCCATATGTTAGCTTGCTTTGCAAAACCTTGTTGATAAACAACAATACTGAAAGGATAGATTAAACAATCCACGTTATATTTTTCATCTACTTTGGTGAACTCGAAGCTCCGCTGTCACCACTGAATGCTTACACTCCCGCAGGCAGGAAATACTTCCTTTCAGTGGTAACTAACGTTAACTTTGCACAACATCTGTCAGCTACTGAACCCAGTAGGTTATAGACAGTACCTGGCACACAGGTAATACATGTGCTGAAACTAAACAACAGTGACACAATAAACAATATGTGCATATATTGGTGCATTGTTGGGCGGCACGGTGGGCCAGTGGATAGCACTGATCTCACCCCGGTTGCAGCACTGAAAAACAAATGTGAACTAATAAAGCTGACTCTGCGCGAATTAACCCAGCAGATGCGACCGGCTTACACAGGGATAGTAATAAAGTCAGTCTTGCGCAGAGGTGGACGGCCCCGCCTCACTGTCGTGTCAAATGAGAGGATGAAGAGGGACTATCCTTCTAGGCACGAGAAGAGAAAGAAGCTCAGTGAGAGTGAAGTGCAGGAACAGCAGGCAGGTAAACTTGTGTTCGCTCCTCTCAGAGTCTGATGTCAGCAGGTAACAGTAACAGTAGCCTAATGTTCAGTTAATGTGTAGCTGCTGTGAATTTCTGTCTGTCTGTCCTGCTAACCAGCTGAGAAGCGCAGCTCTTGTCTGTCGTGTCTTGGTTTCTTGCCAGACTGTGACAGAACAATGTTGAGTAAAAATACAACTATTTATTATGTTTGATAACGCAGACGGGCCACAGTGTTTATAAACTGCAGCTCGGAAAAGATGACCGCATTGCACGTGGAAATGCGTTCATATTCACGGCCTAAAAAATTTTATTCACGCATTCCAGCAATAAACATCTGTGAACCAGTCCAGACAGGATGTGAGGGCACTCCTCATACATCATTTTAAAACAAGACAGTGAAGTTTATTTCCAACTCTGGACTAATGCAAGATGGGAAGCAGTGGATTTGCATTACATTGACAAGGGCTTTGCTTAAGTTTGTCAGTGGAGTAAATTGGGATCATCAGCCAGTACAAGAACAGACTCCAGTCAGCCCAGCTGATCCACATCCGGCCTCAGTCAGTGCGAGCACAGACCCGGTCCGGACGTCTTTAGCGGGTCCCACAGACCCAGGTGAAACACAGGCAGCCTCAGACATTACCAGCGCAGCCAGAGATGAACAGCCAGCATCAGACCCTAACGGAACAGTTGCTGCTTCACCAAATGACCCGGCAGACTGGCCCCCGGTCTTAACAGACTTCATGAGGACTGAGTTAGTGCGCAGAGGTCTGTTCAAAGCAGCTCTGGACTTTTCTAGAAGAGGTTTCTATTCAGGCTAATTAAAGAGGGAGGACTGTAGTGAGAGCATTGTTGTGTCAGGTGTGACTGTGCAGCAGCTCTGTTTTTGTCTGTGGCCGAGTGCTAACGTAGCTGCTAGAGCTTTGCAATATAAACATGTGAAAACTGAAGCCAACCTCGCTCTGTGTGGGACTGTGAGTTGCACTTTATCAGAGGTGCAGACGTTAACATGTGGATTTTTGATGAGATTGTGAATTGAGAAGTGTTTCAGTTAGTTTTGACCTCCTTGTCCAACACAACCCGTGCACATGCCCAAAGTCCAAAATGAGGTCGGTCTGAAGGGGGAAACTACTACAAGAGCAGAACACAGGCTAATCCTCCCACAGTATAGGAAATATCCACTTGTACTCTTCCTTATTGTGATTCACTGTAACTTATAATGCTGTCTGGAGTGAATTTAAAAATAAATACTGTGTATAGATTTTGATGTGTAGTACTTTTGATTACTTAAGTATATTTTAAAACCAGGTACTTTTTTACTTTTACTTGAGTAACTTTTTTATGTGGTATCTGCATTTTTACTTAAGTAGGAAAATCGAGTACTTCTTCCACCACTGTATTTACAGCAATAAGCCAAAATATTACATTCAGGCATCATGCCCACAACATGGGACTTACATAAGTTTGCATTAAGTTAGTCAACTCTTATAATTTCACAGCACAAACGCCCACTTGCTCATCACTCTCTCAAGATAATTAATCAACATCCAACACTACGGAATAACGTTAATAAAAACACATGCTTACCTTTCTGTTAATTAAACATCTATATAGCCTCAGCATCCTCTCCCCTGCTTCTTGTTCTGGCAGCTCCGTGTCCATTTAAATAAAGCACTTTTAAATCATCTATTAACTTTCTCCTCCACCAGTATCTCTCCCTGATTTAAAGTTCTGTCCATCATCCTGTCCGGTCCTCACGCTGCTCACGTCTGCTTGCAGGTGCAGCTGCGCGTTAGCATCGCTGCTAACGTAACTTTAACCTTCACTAGCTTTGCTTTGCTCCGAATTTGATTGTTTTATGGCGATTTAATAAGTTAATAAGCTCATGTGCACAAAACGCCAAAGCTTCAATTGATTAACGTATCTCTCTCCCCCCCCCTCGCTCCCCCTCCCTCTCTCGGTCCACGTAAGTGGACTGGGCGCGTTCCATTTCTGTTTGGGCCGTCTGCCGTAAGATGGCTTGATTCCATTTCAAATTTCTGCCAGTCGGCCGTGAAATGAATCCAAAGGCCACTATTTCTGTTGAGAAAGGGTGTTTTACAGCCTGTGATTGTAAAATATGATGGTGCTCATTTAATTGTATATTTCTAACAATATCTGGCTGAGGATATTTACTTATAAAATCACTTTTGCTAAGAGAAGGGGTCATCAAACTGGACTTTTATTCCCTTATGTAATCCCTGCACTTGTCACATATACCATATATATATATATATACATACATATATCACATATCATCAGAATGGGCTTTTTATTGTGCATTCAGCCCCCACGTCACATTTCATTTCTTATCTTTATATATTTTCTACACATAATTTATTTGTCCATAGCAAATCCTATAATTAATTTGTAATGTCAATATTTCATTTCTGTTTTATTTCCCATTTAAAAATAATTTATTCTGTATCTCATTGTTATTACCTTTTATTTTTATTATTCTGTGTTATGCTTACTCTAGCTAACAGAACAGATTATAATTGTCATGCTGATATAAAATCTTAAAACCAAGAATAAATACATTTACAAACCCATCTTCAGGGTTGTGTAATAGTAGTCTATGCAGTATTGGATGACCTGTAAATAAGAATGAGTTGGTCTTTTTAGCCATAACCCAAGCACTTCAGGCCTTCTTTCAAGCCTCAGATTCGTGCATCTATCAGACCTGTTTTTTTGCTGAGCTATTGAGCTAGGCTAATGAATTCTGATCTGTGAAACCTAAATGTCTCTTAAGGAAAAATGTAATGAAGCCAAGATCTATCTAAAGCAAGTAATCCCAGGGTAAGAGAAGAACAGCAGAAAATAAATCTAAAATTGAGAGTTGTCTGTAGAGACCAGCAAAAAAAAGAGTCAACTGTAAAGTAATAATTTGATCTGTGATCTTTTTTATGGTAACCAGACACAGCTTGGTGACAGCTTACATAGGGAGCTAGGAGAGGAGGGGAAAGTTTATTTTCAGGAACATGATTTGAAAAATTTGACCTAAATGATTTATGAATTTAGTTTTTCCAACACACAGACTACTTTGTGTTAATTCACCTCAGCTGTCTCCACACTGGCCCTGCTCACAATATTTACACATGTGGTTACAGCACTGTGACCTGAGAGGGAACATGAAAACTTAAATATACATGCTTTTGGAGGACAGTGCTTGGACAGATATTGCTACTGTGTTTAACAAATAAATGTTGTTTCTTGTAACCTCTTATTCATTAAAACACACACATACAATAGATGGTGAAAGCGTGCACAGCTTTAGTTGCCTCAGCAGCTACAGGGCAGGGATACAGTAGGCCCAGAGGGTGTGATGTTCAGGGAGCCACTGGAGTGAGCGGCAGCTCCACCTGTATTTGGACAGATCTAACTTTGGCAGCACTTTGGACAGCTGGTCACCAACCTGTTTGACTCCAAGGAGAATCCTCAGTGTCCTGTCTGGTGTTCCTGGCTATGCTACTGAATGGGACAAGATAGAAGACCTCAGCCTGTCAAATACTATGGTAGTCACTGAGCAGCCTCCACAGCCACATCACGCAGCTCGGTCACACGGACATGACCTCTCTCCTGGGTCCTCTTTGCTCTCCTAGTTCCTCAGTGGTACCTGTAGCTGGTCTTAGAGACTCTGTGCCTACACAATAACTCACCAAAGGAAAATTATGGCCTGCATACTAATGACTAATGACACTAAGGATTGCCTTCGTTCCTTAAAAATGGTTTTAGAGAGCAGGGAGAGTTTTACAACAATCATTTTTGGAGAAAATCTTTACTATGATCCAGGATCATGTCCTGTTTTACATAAGATATAAAAACATGTCAGTCACTGAAATGGCAGCTCAGGTACATTTATAATGGCACCCACCTCCACCCTCCCAACCAAAATGATTCACATTTGTTACTTTGTAGATTATTTGATTACATTGCAGGTGCTTGCACAGAGAAAAGCAAAATCCAAGAAGAGATATAGGTGTTTCTTTAATTTCTCCTCAATAGAAAATATTTACTTTTATACTAAGGTGAGACCAAAGGATTTTTTCTCCTACGTCTTAAATTCAACTCAGGAGAAACAACCACATATCATCTCATTTATATCTTCCTCAATCAAAACAAGAGATCTCTAACTGATCTTGAATAAGTCTAATTTAATTTAAGTACCCTGAACATTGCACCATATGAGACCAGAGAAAGAGCCAAAGAAACCTCACATATGATTCCTGTAAATGTTAAGTATTTTCATTTTAGGGGCTTTATACTTTTGCTCCCCTACATTTTTAAATCCTGTATTGTATTTATTGCTGTTTATCTGAACCCTATAAAGTTACTGAGATGAAGAAAAATAATTATTTGTCAATGAAAATATTGCACAACTTTGTTACAGCCAGCATAACTGGAACACCAACCACTGATGTTTGGAGATTAATTCATTAAGGACAGAATGCATGCATGAACTGAGGTACTACAATGTCATACAGAATGAGCACTTTTACTTTTGATACTTAAGTATATTCACTATGACTATGGAATACTTTTATACCTTTTTGAGGACTTGTGATAAATATCTATTTCTACTTTTCTTGAGTAAGGGACCATTGTACTATATTTAAAGTAACTATCAGCTGGATGGTGCACTGGAAAAGTTGTTGCACTTAAAACAGAAGGTACAGTATTCAAAATGTGCTCAGGGCATCCTTTTTTATCTCCTGAGGACAAAAAAGAGCCATTAATAAGACTGAGCAAAGCATCTCCCTCAAGTCTCTTCCTATGATGTCTTAGCCAGAACCTGGGCAAATGTGGAGGGAACACAGACAGTTCTCCTGACAGTGTTGAGGTCCCCCTTAAACCTCCGCTGCCCCATATACAAATACACACAAAGTGGCCTGTACAGTTCCACAGATTCAAGACTCTCTAAAACCACCATTTTTCTTTATACGTCTAAAATTGTATAGATTTTGTTACTAGCTGCATTTCAGATTTAGATGAATAAAATACAGTCAACAATTAAATTACGGTGTTTGCTTATGGTACTTTTATACTTTTAGTTAAGTAAAATTTTAAATATATGAAATTTTACTTCTAACAGTATGTAAAGCCTGGTGTTTCTACTGTCACTGATAAATGTGTTTCTTGCTTTATTTTAAACACTGTAGCCTGTAACACAGGCCTCTGTGTCAGAGCTGAGAAGTGGAGAATATTGTGGTGACTTTGCAGCCTCTCGGCTCAGGCTTAATTAATGGGCCATCAGCGGAGGGACACGCCCCCCTGCACCTGGAACTTGCCCCCCTCCCCCAACCTTTCAGCAGCGCAGCAGAGAGGAGCAGAAGAAAACAGAGCGTGGCCGGAGTTTGGAGAGATTTGTTAGCAGGAGTTTGGAGAGATTTGTTTGAAAAATTTAAAGACGAAGACTTCATCTTAACCGACGCAAGAGGCAATTTCAGAGCAGGTAAGATTTATAGATATTTCTGCTTCTTGTCAAATGATGTTAATGTGCAATATTATTTTGAATGGAAGAAAACAGCAAGCTCTAACTTTAATTGAGTGGCTCCAGAACCGCTCCAGTCAGATCTCCAGCACACAATTGATAGGTACATGGTTTAACATGATGGCAGAAGTGCATATTTAATGGATTTAGTGCAGATGCAACAGAATAGTGCTGTTAAATTGTAAATATTTTTTCTGTGTAAATAACAATACACTTATAGGCTACTGTGCATGAGGCCGTATTTGCTTTGCGACAAATCCCAGTCTGTTTTTTCTGCTGCCACAGCTGCTTTTAACTCCCCTGTTACTGTCAGTAACAATTCCACCTCGTGTTAGATCCATGCAGAACTATCTCTGGTGTGGTTTTTAGTCTGTAGTAGTACCTTCTTCTTTTAACAAATCTTCTACTAATGCGAAGTAGACAATGTGCTTCCTGTTTATACCGGCACGCGCATGCTCAGTGTAGGCTATGTGGACGGCCACTTCACGTATTCAGAGACAGAGATCCATTCTGTTATGCAGATAAAATGCTGCTGGGGACGGAGATCGTTTTTGGTTTAAATCTCCTTTTAAACAGAAACGTAGTAGTGCGGATGTGGCCCAAGACAGGTGAGCCAACATTACACCTGAGAGAGGACACTGAAGTAGATGTAACACAGTCTTTTTATTATTATTTTGATCCCAAAGCAGCTCTGTTCTCATGGCTTATTGTGTGAAAATTAAATATTTATCAGCTACTACTTGATTGATTTAGTACCCTTTCCTATTGCCTGTCTCACTCCCACCTCTGTGACTGTCTGTTTAGTTAGTGGAGGGAAAGCTTCTGACAGGGAGAGCTGAATAACAGTTGCCACCATAAAAAGAAGAAAACGTGATGTTTCCTGACAACAGTTTGTTTATAAAATTAGGTAAAATCTGCCCGCAGCCTGCAACGGATTTTCAAAAAGTAACACTTACTTTATAAAGTACACCTGTAAAGTCTTATACAATCCATTACAACAGTGCTGCCACAAAGTCTACTTTAATGATGCCTTTAATCAGTTTTCTTTTTTGACACAGTCATATAGGTGTTAAGTGAATTAAATTTTTTAGCACTGAGGTCATAGTTGGTGAAAATGTTGTACTGGACTACATCATATTCAGATGTGTTTAATATTCCGCCCTACTCATATATATAAACAGGGAGAGCAAAATCACCTTTCAGTGTAACAACACCTTGAACTATAGGCTTAGTAATAAACAGAACTGAATTTACACATTCCTGACAAAATGGTCAGAAACTGAACCTGTTGTACAGAATTGCAGTAGATTGTACAGGTGTCCTGAATAGTCGCTACTGAGTATAAAGCAGTATCTGGAAACAAAGCACAAATGGCACATTGTCTCACTGGAGACTTGAGACGTAACCTCGTATTTATGACAGGGTGTCCAATTCACTTAAAACATGTGTTTATTCTCTCTCTCTCACTGTGTAGAGAGATGTATTATATGATATGAAATGCAGCAGTACTGTATCACTTAATATTACTACTACACATTGTTATTTTTATATTTTGTTCAGAGTATAACATGACATCATTTTCATTATTCTCATTGGTGTTAGGTCCAGGAAGAGATCGCTATGAGTCAAACACAGGTATGTGCCTTTACAAACTCTTTACTCCATCCTGACACTGACTTCTTTCTTCACTGTAAAAGTAGTAGTAGTTGTGATTCAGCGTTAAAGCTGACATTTTTAAATGAAACAATATCAGCTGCAGACCGATAATATAAACAGGAATTTAGGGCTCGGGCAATTCGTCAACATAGTCGATCCAGTGTTGGCAGGATTCCCCCGGACAAGCTCCAGCTACAAGACCGTGCCTTCGACCATCTAAAGTTTGGAAGTATTTTAGACAGACAGTCTCTGTGATCTGAGAAAAGCTTCACTGCAGCACAACTGTCCACGAATACGTGAAGCAGCATGAACACGTGAGCGAAAGTATCCTGGAGCACTGACGGCAGCACCGCAAATCCTATTTACTTTCTGTCGCCACACGAGCATGGCACATCATCAGCACAAGGACACGTAGTATTTCTTAATCGCTTTCATGTTAAAAGTAATTTTTGCCCCGCTGCTGTCATTGTAGCATAACGTTACACCTCAAGACATCGAACGTTCGGCCGTTTCATATTTTCTGTTTTAATTAACGGCCACATATGAGCGAGAAAACAGCTGAAACTAACATTACAGACGATCTGTGACTGTCTGTACAGTCTGTGAATCCTTTCAATTGTTTTCTTTGCCCGACACTGATGCAGAAATACATTTGATTATCATACTGCAGTACTCAATATTGAAATTAATCCATGTCAAAAACATTAAAAGTTTTAAGTAAAGTAGCCTAATAATTAATGTCTGTTATTGTTGTTATCACAACACATCAATGGCGTGGAAATTTGATTCATTTTAAGATTTGCTGCTATTCTTATTTTTTATATATATATATATACACACACATTATTCTAATGTGCTTCATCAGGATGATTAAAATATAGATTTATTTATTAGGAATGTTTTTGATATTTATTTTGGATAAATTGGTATGTTAATCGAGTAATAGGCAACTTTTTTCCTTTTAGAATACAGAAAATTAGTCGTTAGATTAATTGGGTAATTGAAAAAATAATCGTTTGATTAATTGACTTGAAAAATAATCGTTACGTACAGCCCTAATCAGAAATTGAATATCTGCAGGCTTAGAAGTTGTGATTATTTTACAGTACTTAATCTTAACGCTGTTCCTGAACTTTAGCTGCCAGTAATCTTACTGCTAACATCAGGCGAGATGGATTTATATAGCCTGCAGTGGAAAAGCTACATTTTACAAGGGGTTGGGGTAAACAGCTGACTGAATGGGATATTGCTCAGCACTGGGGATGTAGCGATTGCTGGATTTCACTATTAACCGTGCTTTAAAACGTCACGGTTAATTAATCAGCGTTTCCCACACATAGGGTTTACTTGGGCGGGCCGTCCAGGTAGATTAACAGCTGCCCAAGTAAATTTGGCGACCCATTTTACAATTGTTTTAAAATAAGTAAGTAAAGGTAATACATAATAACTTATTTAAATAATGTGGCAGGTTGTTGGGGAATTAAATATAATTGTGACACTTACAATCAATGCTGTCGCACTGAGATCGAGCTTTCAGTACAACATAAACAAACAAAGCAGGTGTAACCGACAGCACCGCTGCGCTATGAGGCCTATTTTCAATGGCTTGTGCCACGCCAAAGCTTGACGAGCTCGCACGCAAGCAGCAGTCAAAGTAGCTGAACTTTTGCGCTGAACCCAGCTTCCACACAGTGCAAATCACTTCTTTTGTGAAAGGTTCTTTATGGAAGAACGTTGTCCTCTGCCGACCTTCAGTCACTGAACATTTAACATCCTGTTGCTTCCTCCTGTCTGTGCTGAGAAAATGTTGCAGGTGTAAAACACTAACAGAACATCAGGAGCTTATAAACTTCCAGAACTGTGGGCTACCAATTACCTGCATTTCAGTTATTAATAACGCTGCATGAGACATGTTCTCAATTTTCATCATTGAACATTCATCATCATTTTCACTAAAACTTATACATGTGGATGAGAGTTGATGACAACAGTTCAGTTTATTCCCCTCCCCAATAACAATTTCCCCTGGGAGATAAAGTTAATATTCCTCTTATATTAATAATAATACTTAAATATTATAGTTTTATAATTGTTAATGTAATATTAAAAACCTACTTAAGTAATTACTAGTGTTGTTAAATTAATTAATGCATAATAATCATGATAATCTTGAAACCGTGATTATTCCTCTGACTATAATCGTACCAACAAAATCTGTAATCGTTGCATCCCTACTCAGCACAAGCCAGTCTCTCGTGTTTCAACAGTTTCATTTACCAGTCCTGACCAGCACGCATGCTGTCACCGTGTACACGGACTAAAACTTCTAGTGAAGTTATGGATGTTATATTATGACATGTTAGAACAGTTGCAACATTTTGGTACGTGTGCTTATTCACTTTCTCGCCAAGTGCTGGATGAGAAAAGTAAAGGACTGTCATGTCTATTCACTAAATATGGAGTTAGAGCCAGCAGCCAATTAGCTTTAGATAATATAGATTTATTTATATTTAGCATGCACACTAAAGTGATTTGATCTTCTCAATAAACTCTCAGAAAGAAAGACAATACATGTATTCCCCCAAAAAACTATTTCTTCAAGGTAAATTAACTTTTACGTTAATTGTCAGTTATTAACATAATTTATTTGTATTATTCAACACTATACTACTAAAATGACTATGTAAAAAAGCCTTTGTCCTGAGCATGAACTCAAATCAGTCCCTGCTCGTTCTGTTCTCTCAGACAAAAGTTGATGGCAGATTTCTTTTTTAAATGAAAGTAGAGTCCCAGGCAGAGACTGCAACTTTTTGGCCAATCCTGAGAGCAAGATGTCAGTGGGACTGCAGTCAGTTTGTTGCTGTGCCTTGTCAACTTGCAAAGTTGTAGATACCATGCAGTTCTTGCTGCGACAGTCGTAATGTGGTAAAACGTTGAGAGTGGATGACAAGTAAACGACCTACTGAAAAATAAGTGGAGTCTGTTCAAAGATGTCAACAGTTTATTAGTCAAGATTCAATTCAGTTACATACTTGTCAGTTTGTGTACTTTGATTGTATTAATAAAGCAAATGGAAATAAGTGATTATTATATTGGTTTTAATGATTAGGTTGTTATGAATGTGGTCTTCATAAAGTAATTCTATGGAACAAAAATTTTATACCCACAAAGATACATTGGGAATTATTATTGTTATGTAATCATAGCACCCTAAATTGTGACAGATATCCCAGCCCTATCATCAATAGGGATGCAACGATTACAGATTATTGTCAGAGAAATAATCACGGTTTCACGATTATGCATTAATTTTCACTAGTAATAACTTAAGTTGATTTTTAATATTAAATTACATTAACAATTGTGTTTCTATATATATAAGTATTATTACTATAAGAGGAATATTAACTTCATTTATTCCCCAGGGGAAACTGTTAATAAGAGGGAAATAAACTGAATTGTTGTCATCAACTCTCATCTAGACATCATTCATGCAGTGTTATTAATAACTGAAATGCAGGTAATTGGTAGCCTACAGTCCTGAAAGTCTAAAAGCTCCTGATGTTATGTAGTGTTTTACACCTGGCAACATTTTTTCAACACAGATGTAACGTTAAATGTTCAGTGACGGAAGGTATTGAAAGGACTATGTTCTTCCATAAAGAACCTTTCAGAAAAGAAGCGATTTGCGCTGGGTTCAGCACAAAAGTACTTCGACTGCGGCATGGCGTGCTGTGCGCGATCCTCTACACAGCAACAAAGTGCCCTAGCGCGGCGCAAGTCGCTGAAATAATGGGCCTCTTTCTGTGCGGTGGGTCTGAAAGGTTACATGCTGCTGTCTTTGTTTACGTTGTACTGAAAGCTCGACTCTCACCGCTACGGCATCGATTGTAAGTGACACGTTCAGGTTTAATTCCCTATACCAACTAAGGTGGGTCTCTGACATTGACAGCTTTGTGTTGGAGAGATTTGTGCAGCGCTGTTCATGAGAGACGGAGAGAGTGAGCGAGAGATGTTGCGCGAATATATACACTGTAGAAACAGTTACACCTTTAGAAGAGCAGTTGATATTCAGTCCTCGTATAATTATTAGTGTGCAATTATCTGATTAATCCTCTGTCAGTACCACAATTTCCACGGACGGTGTTTATACTGTATGTGCAGTCATTATTTAAAAAAGGCCTAACAAAATTAGCCGAGTGTTATATAAAAAAATCTAAACAACACTAACAAGTATGTGAAATATGTTTAACAAAAAGAAAATGAAGAAAGGAAAGAAAATGCTCGCAAAGGAGGTATTGGGTGTGTAATTGCTCTAGTTTTAGTATAGTGAAAATGGTGTAACTGATCCATACAGGCCAGTAACATTGGAAGGTCAAGACAAGTCATTTTAAAACTCCTTTTATTCACCGGCAGTCTTTGTACTCTGCAACTTGGGTTTTTATTAGAGCACAGAGTAATAATAAATGACTGTTGCTGTTTTTCACAGGTGAAAGTCTCACTTTCACCTCCACCCCACACACAGTGAAGAGAGGAAGACCAGTGGATAATATGTTTTTGGCAGTAAGGATGCTGTCCATTTAAAACCTGAAACACTTTTCAACTCTCTAACAGTTAACAAATACAGAAGGATGCAGCCTTACCCACACTATATAGTATGAGGTGTTACTTTTTGTATGCTCTTGTTTTTCAGATGGAGGTTCTGACCCCTGCGCTGAGTTAGAGATAAGGAGAACTCACTGATGGTGAGTTAAATTGCTTTAATTATGAAATATACAAAAACTCCTGCCTTTGTTTCATACTTTAACTCAGTCAAAAGACAAGTAGAGTACTACTTTACTCTTACTGTAAGTGTATGTGTACTTTTGTTTGAGTGTTTGTTTGTAACTCTTTTCTAATTTATGATGGTCAGTGTTGGGCAAGTTACTCAGAAATTATTATATATTACTAGTTATTACTCCTTTAAAGTATTACTTTACTTATTACTGGGTGGGCAATATTAGATTGTGGACGATTAAAATGTCTCCACGATCTATCTTTTCAGAGAGATCATTACTGTCGTGCTACAGATCACAATCTATTTAGTTCTGTCTGCGTCCTCTGCTGTCTACTAAGGCAACACAGTAACTGTTGGGCCTCATAAAATAACATTAAAGTTCCCCGTGTCCCCCAGCTACTCTGTCTCAACTCTCTGTGATTTACGGAGGTTGCTGATGAACAGATGTGTTACTTGTTGCTAAAGTAACTGCTAAGTGCCATTAAGTAGCTGCTGTGATCTTATAAGCTCAGTTAGCCTAGTGGTCGTAGCTGACTCAGCCCGGACTGGGAGCTCGCAGCACCTGGGAGTGTTTTGTGTTTAACGTTACACCTCTACTCAGGCACTGGAGGTTTTAGGCCTCAGCAAGCGGCGCTGGTTTGGGCACCAGAACAGGAGCCAAGCGTGCAACGACACCGCGCTCAGCAGCCTCCCAGTAAACACTGTATGAACGGGACCGAACACAGACTTTGGACAAGTTTGTGCAGCGGTGTTCACGAGAGAGAAAGAGAGCGCGAGCCAGGAGGTGCTGCACGAATATTTGCTCCTCAATACAGCTCCTCGGTCAAACATGATTTTAAATATGCCTAGTAAAAAAATTTTTAAATTAATGTGGTGGTCAGCGTTGACAATTAACCAAATTATAGGCTAATTATGGGAAACACTGCTTTCACTACCACCCTGCCTTTGCCCCCAAACAAAGCATCTCTCCCGAATTATTAACTAATATCGTATTCACAACCGCGAGTATGCTATGGTCTTTACATACGGTACCGCTGAGCTGCCGCACAGTCGTGGATTCATGTCAAGGACGGTGCGTTTAGTAACGAGTTTTTTAGAAAAGTAACTACACTTCACTTTACAATTACACTACTAGTTACAGGGAAAAGTAATATTATTACAGTAAAGCGTTACTGCCCAACACTGATGATGGTAAATATTAAATGTGTTTTTGTGACCTTTAACAATTAACCTTTTTTGTCCCATGGTAAGAGAGTTGCAATCATCTGTCAGTTCTTGGTTGTCACATTTAATTAAAGCACTTGTTTCATCGACTAATAGGAAATGATGTTTGTCTGTTCCTGTTGTAGATGAGACCCCCAGGCTTCCACAGAAGAACAAAGTCAAACATGAGAGAGCAAGAGAGCATGGAGTGAGGTAGAGAGAACTGCGATGTAGAGTGCCTGGAAAAAAGGACTGTGAGCAATGTATACATGGAGAAAAGACCTTGGCTCAAGGGTCATGGAAAGATGTCAAACTTTGTGTACAACACAATTGTGACCCTTAGACGAAGCGGCGCTTCACGTATTCTTAAGAATTCAAAAGCCAAATGTTTTTGCCATTTACAGTCTCCTACTGAACTACTGATTGATAATAATCTGAAATTAATCTATCCTGGACCATATAGTGTCAGATGATGTACTGTAAAAAGGCAAGACTAGCCACAATAAGCTAGTGTTCAGCGTTCCTAAAACTCAAAACCAGTTGTAAAAAATTCAAAGGATTATTTTGTTTTCATTGTACTTTGCAAGACAGTGTTCCTTGTTTTCAATTGATTGTCTGATAATATCAATTTTCTTCATATTGGCCCTCACTTTAATTGGTGAATTAATAGTAGTTATGATACAGTACACTTTACTGTATTTTTTGAGTTGTACAAGAGGCAATAGTTTGTTTCTGGAATAATTTATTTCTGTTTATGCTTAATAAACAATGGATTTGGGGGTGGTGATAGCGCACTTCAATCCCCCACTGTGAACCATCCACTGTGTCCCTGAGTAAGACACTTAACCCTAGTTGCTCCAGAGGCGTGCGACCTCCGACCTCCGACATGTATAGCAATTGTAAGTCACTTTGGATAAAAGCTTCAGCTAAATGAATAAATAAAATGGATTTCTTTTATATCCCTGCAGCTTTGTTGAAAGTTGTATATGTGGATTGCTCAAGTTATATTTACTTTAGTAAAGCAGTAATTGACCAGTAAGTATGTATGTTTGTACAGCAGTCAAATCGATGGTCACCTCCATAAATTTAGGTATTCTGCTTATCTATGAATCTCAGACTGGGCAATTCTTTTTAAAAATGCCCATACTGACTTATTTTTACATAATGTGTTATACTAGAACATTAAAATTATTAAATTTAATGCTAAAAATAGAAGGTAGTTAAACTAGTCCATTCTGAAACGAACTCAATAGCGCCCCCTTGAAAAGGTCCCCACTCCAGTGGTAAACTGGGTTAAAAAAATTAAAAATTTCCTTCATGTTTTTTAAGGAACTGAGGTGGAAACTGGCATCAAGGTGCCACCCAGTGTTGGAATCTATCATGCATTTGTCTCTAAGTATAGTAGAAAGGGTGGTCCTCACTCCAGCAGTTAATTAACCTGGACCTCACTATGAGGCACGTACAGGAATGTGTGTGTGTGTGTGTGTGTGTGTGTGTGTGTGTGTGTGTGTATGTTATGTGTATGTGTGTGTGTGTGTAATGTGTATGTGTGTGTAGACATTTCAACATTTACATTCAAAGTAAAAACTCTCTTATTAATCATCACAGTCTCTTTCATTCCATTGTTTTTACATTGCAGAAAACTCTAGCACAGTTTTAAATGTGGCAGTTAACAAAGCTACTGCTTAGAAATGTGTTTCAAATCATTTATTACATAAAAATGCATAAAATACTTTGGTTAATAGTATAATATATAATTATATATAATATATAACATAAAGTGTTTTCATCCTTTGTTAATTTTCTCAAATTGTCAGAATGGGAAAGTTGAGTTCTGATTTTTATTTTGAAAGACTAACCGGGAAGTTGAAAAGATGTTGCCGCTAATTCACGTTGTAGACTATGGACGCCTCAGTCCAGACTGAACATTTTACATATCTAATGACATGTTTTTTGTTACCATGAAGACACAATATTATAATATAAAACCCACTAAGCCAGTAATTAACATCTCATTAAGTCAAAATTGTAATTGTATTGTCATACTATGGAAGTTAAAATGACAAAAATACAATACCGATAAAGTAGTGAATACATTTTTATGTCTTTAAATGTATATTTGATGAGTTTTTATAATTCCATCTTACCTGTAATGGCATCCTCCTTCTCACATTGACACTCCATTTCGCTGCAGTTGACGGAACTTCACCTACTGTCAAGGTTGCGAAAATTCGCGAGACCACTTCCGCTCAGAAATGTCAATATAAAAGCCCTAAACGTTACAACAGACAGGTTTGACAAATGTTTTGCAAAGTAGATGTCATTATACAAACAACTCCCTAAAACCACGAATAATTTCACGATTAAATCTCTTATTACAACAAAAGTAACACGCCTAGGTATCATTTTCACAGCATGTCAGTTAGTTCAGACCTAGGAAAAGCTCCATAATCGCTCCATAATCAAGCAGTTGTTAACATGTAGCAAGGTTTCAAGACAGGATAACAAAAACAGAAAACTTTAAATAACATTAACTGGTTTGTCTGTTTAAACCCATAACAATCGCAAAGTGTTGCTAAAGCTCCAATACCTCGTGTGTTGTCAAATAATCCTCCCACAGGAATGCCATCTACTTCCAGTCAAAACCTGATGCAACTCACATGAGGTCAAAGTTGTATGTGTTCCTGTCTTCCTGCTGCTGAAACCTTTGCCTGTGCCGGCCTGCCCTCAGCAACAGTGTGCCTACTTTATTGTACTGTGTGGAAAAACAATGCAGTGAGAAGGTCCAAGTATGCAGATAATGCTGCAGTCTTGCTTAGGAAGGGCACACCTTTTCTCTTGCTACAAGAAGAACTGGATATGCTGCTTAAAATGTACAGTATGCTGACTAATGCAGTAATTAAAATAAAACTACCAACCATATGCAGGGTTGTAAAATTCTTTATTAATGGAAATCAAGATTATTAACAAGTCTTACAATATAGTTTTGAGTATGTGACTGTATTCCAATGTATACAGGACATTTTCATAACCCACATCAACCAGTTTGAGTTTTCTTGATCACAAGAAAATGACTTGTTTTTTTTTTAAACATACAAACATTATTCATGTAATGTTGGAGTGACACACTACTTGCAGACATTTGCACTGAGCTGCACTGAACCATGCTGCTGGTAAAGCAACAGGTTTAACCTTTTCACTGAACATTGAACACAGTGTCCCGGTCTGCCCAAAGATTCACAGGCCACACAGTAAATGTAAAACCATTACCTGCTTTTAAAATGGATTGCAAACTTTTTAGAACTTGATTTGTGCCAAGCGCCTGAGAACATTTTTAGACAGAGACACTGATCTGGACAAGTTTGCCAGCTCATGAAGGCACAGGGAGTTGCACATTTAACTCCTCATGGGCCCAGCCGGGCTGTCAGAGCATCTATCAGCTCCTGCTTCTTGGTCCCAGTGGTCCTAACTCCAAATTGCTTACAGGCCTCCTTCAATACGGGCACGGTCAGCTTTCCCAGGGTGCCGTTCTGCACGTGGGCCCTCAGCTCGTCTTCTGGCACCTCAACTTTAGGCTTCTTCTCAGCTCCGCCCCCGGTATCAGCTGCAAGTTCATGCATGGAGAAAACATCCAGTCAAAAGAATAATTGGATCGTTACTGTAGTACCACCACAAAATGAATACAGCAGCCAGTGATGTATTTAGAAGTCATCAGTACTGATCAGTTACACGATCAAATCCCTGCAGATACTGTGTGTTGGGGAAGAACAATTCAAACTTATGTTACAAACAAGCCAAAACAACAAAGATACAGTAAAAAGCCACTTTGCTTATTTGTTGTTTTAAACTCAGCTTTAACCTGTTTTGCGTTTGGCAGCTGGTTTGCTCTCAGGGTTGTAATTGGCAGGGTAGACCAGATCTTTAAACTCCTCAACTAAAGGACCCAGACGGCGATCAATCTGGTCTATCTTTGGCACTGAGACACACAAAAAGAGAGACAGACAGGTACAAAAAGGGTGAAGAAACAGCAAGTAGTAGTAGCAGCCATGAGAGGAACCAGGATCTGTTTGTCTGTCTGCATCTTACTGATGAGGTCCTCTACGTCCTCTGGAGCCACCATATCCAGAGCCAGTGCCTCTAGGTTCCTGTAATGCTGCTGGATGACTGGATTCTCAAAAGCGTCACTCCTGCATTACATTACAAAGAATGTAAAACACGTTACAGAAAGAAACCAATTGAATAACTTTCTTATGAGCAGAGATCCCACTTGCTATCTGTCACCACAAAGTGTCGTGCTATAAATTACTCTAGTTTTTGTTAAATTTTGTTAAATGTTATGTCCCCCAGTGTTTTGCAAGGATTACAGAATTTATTAAAGCGCTCTAGTTCAACTGTTTTTAAGAAACCCTCTAAACTAAGATCTCTTTTACGTGCCGAACACGTGAAACTACCTGTACTTGAAGCGCAGCTTGGAGACAATCTCTTTCATCTTGTCCACCTGAATTTGTGAAGCCGCGGAGCACCGGGGGGGATCCAGAGTGCGTATGTCGTCAGCATACGGCAGGTAGATGACATTGAAACCTGACACAGGCAACAGAAATGACACGATGTCATAAAGCTTCAGTACACTACACTGACCTAGATGATAAAACAGTTGCCTATCTCATTGTTAACTAAACAGCTTTTTGTAAATGCTAGAAAAGCAAAACACAGTGGTAGAAATTAAAAAACAAACTAGTGGTTGTTGGCCTGTTAAGTTTGGGACTCTTTGAAATAATTAAACCCAGTAAAACTCCTGCTGAACCGCAGCAGTGTATTACCTGGTGGAGTAATCTGTACTTTCCCCTCGTCGACCTCCTCTTTCTGAGGCACCAGGGCAGCAAATCGAGGCGGGTAGTTTCGGCGAGAGATGCAACGGCAAAGAGCGAATACGTTCCTCTCGCTACACTTGGTCAACAGGGCAGAGAACAGACATGCGCTGCCTGAGGAGGAAAACACAGAACATATTACAGCTCTGCCAACAGAGATGACCCACTGGGATGTTTCATATGAACTGTGATTGATCTGGGGAAAGCCAGTAATGGTTTTTGAGTAATTATCACAAAGGCTACAACTAAAATGTGTGTTCACTGTCGATCAATCTTTTGGTCTATTAGCACACACCCTCACCTCACACTCTTTGGAAAATAATGTGAAATTTAATATTTCTTCCTGTCAGTTTTCAAGTCGATCAGGCGCAGACGGACAAACTGTGCTACCTTTCACCTCGTCCTCCTCGGGATAGAGGAAGACAGCAGGTCGGATGTGGTGGTGAAGTTTGAGCTTCTCCATAGGTTTAAATCCGATCAGAAAAAGTCCAGGGTCGTCAAACTTCTTGATGGCGTCCACCTCGTCCCTCTCCATCACGATCTGTTTCTTGCCATATGTCTACAGCAGACGAGAAATCAGAGAACCAACAAAACCACTGAATTAAATCACTGATAACCACTGAGATGTATGTCCGTCATCAACTAAATGCAGGTACAGTTTGCTGTAGCTGATACATTTTTCTGGTCAGTTAGTCCACAGTCATCATGCCATTCTGGTGGGTAATAGACCATAATTCAGGATGCATTACCGGTTAGTTATTATAAAACCTTACTTACAGTGTAAGACAAAAACACACTTTTATGAAACAATCAAACCAGAATTAGCATATATTAAGTCTGCTCTGACCTGGGCTTTCTTTATCTCACTGGGCAACAGCAGGCTGCCAGTCTGGGTGTGGAAGGTGCGGGTTTTGCTGCGGACTGGCTCGTTGGTTTCCCTGTAAAGTCTGATGGCACCTGGTTTCCGAGCTGTCACAGCAGTTGCATAAATTCCCACAGCTATGTTTATGCCCTCACCAAGACACAGGTTTAACCTAAAGATGGCAGAGAGGACAGGGTAGTGTGAAGAGAGAAAGAGGAGGAGTTAAGTGATTGAAAAGACACAAAGTTTAGCCGCAAAGGAAGCAAAACACAGAGTAAATAAGTAAAAAAGGCAAAAGGGAGTTACTAAAAAGCAGCAAGCAAGACAGTAAGAATAACTTTTATCTGTCTGGAAATGGACATGCCTCACTTATCTCTACCTGGCCATGGTTCTCTTCTTCTGCTCCTTGGCCCGCACCCTCTTCTGGAGGTCCTCCAGTTTGTCACAAGGCTCGAGCTGCAGCCCCAACTCGCTCTCGTCCTCAGGTGGACTTACAATGTCACGAAAGAAGGACGAGACATCGAAGCCGCCCGGTTTCATCAGATGCATTAAATCAATAATGACACCTGAGAGAGGGGGGACATAAATGCTTCTGTGTATAGCTTACTCTTCTGTATACTGAAAGTTGCATGCAAACAGTGAAGCTTCCAAGAGCAGCGTTTAGCTTCACTCCAAAACAGTATTACGGATTTTCATGAAAGAAGAGCAGCCTTTGCATCAGTCATACCAGTCTCTTTGAGGTCACTGGCCTTGGTGCGAGCCTGTCGGTCTTTCACAGTGTCGCCCCCGTGTGGATCGTCCCTGCAGGTGAAGATCATAAGCCGCTTGTGTGAGAGGCGTAGCTTGATGTCACTGTAGAGGTTAGCGCAGCACCACAGGGCGTCGCCGAATGACACATCCCCGCTGCCCATTGTCTCTTCCGCCAGTTGTGCACCTTTTTCCCCACGCAGAGCGTCCACTTCCTGTACTCGCTTTGCCCCTGTGGGAAGAAACAAGTTGGATATGTTTCACAATTCAGAAAGAACAGCTACTCAGATTCTAATGAAGGAAGAGTCAAAATCTGATCCAAATACCAAGTACCTGATTTAAGAGAAATTTCTTATAGTTCTTACAACTTGCATTGGTATTTTCTTTAATTGCTCTTATGTTTTATTGAAAAAAGCCTCTAATAGCTAAATTACAAAGTTAAATATGTTTTATCTTAATACATTTGAGGGATGAAGTCTGTACACAAGAATTGTGGCCACATTTGTGCTTGCAGCAAAACTACAACATTACAGATGGCATGTGATCATGTGTTAGTTTGAAAAGGCAGCGTGTTACCGGGCTCATCAAGATCGTGGTACACGTAGACATGCTTAAATGAGTTCCTGGGGTTTTTGCTCTGCTCCGTGCCATAGAAAACCAAAGCCATCAGGTCCCTGTGACTGCGAATGATCTTACTGGTGTACACACTGCGCACGACCTACAAGGACAGGACAGAGATACTATTAATAGACAAAAGGTATTCTCATGTCTCTTTTGCTTCAAATAACTTTAAAAAGGTGGTATTATGCTCAATTTCAGGTTCAAAATCCTATTCTGGGGTTGTACCAGAACAGGTTTACATAGTTTAATTGTCAAAAAACACCATATTTTTTCTTATACTGCACATTGCTGCAGCTCCTCTTTTCACCCTGTGTTGAACGCTTCGTTTTAGCTCTGGAGTGATACATCTTGTCTCTACAAGATCTTTGTTAGGAGTTGCACATGCGCAGTTCTAAGTTAAGGACTACTGGCCAATCAGAAGCAGAGAAAGGTCAGCGAAAGGCCGGTAAACAGCTTCGATTCAGCTGTAGGCTACATGTTGCCGACCAGGTTGGCAATTTGGACTGGAGCAAGAGTTTCAGAGTGGTGAGTTATTAATCTGTAACAAAAGTATCTTTCATCCATAAAGTTTTAACTGAGCTCCGTCTCTACATCACAATAACAACTTTATGTCATTGACTGCTTGGAGGGTAGCTAGTGTTTGGAAGGGAGAGGAGAGGTGTGCTGCAGCTCAGTGTTTTTCCACCGGTGTTTTTGAGGGCGTGTCGGTCAGCGAGCATTATGACACGTATTTTCATTGTGACATCACAAGAAAGGGAAGTAAAGGCTGGACTACAAACAAGCTGTTTTCAGGCAGTTCAGAGCAGAGCTTTCTGTGGGAGATGGGAACTCCCTTTGGGGTGGACTTTGGGCTTTTTCAAAGATAATAATATAAAAGATATATAACTCAATAAAGGAGAGGGGAAAAGCCAAAAAATTCATAATACCACCTCTTTAAGACTTTAGTGCGAAGTATTATTTAAGCTGCAAAATGCCTTTCATAAACTTTGCTGTCTCAAACTACACATAATGTTTGAGATAATTCCAGCACATTTCTTGCAGTTCCCAAGCGCATCCAAGTTACAACCTCCATTTCCATTACAGGGATGTTTAGTAGACAAACAAAAGAATTAATACACAACTAAGACAAAGCAAAAGACACTAAGATGCCCATCTTACCTGCATGGTTGTGTCGAAGTTAGAGGGCTGTCCATCTTCTCCTTTGATGAACATTTCCTTGGAGGCATCAACCAAGAAGACCAAACTGTCTCTGCCTGTGACTTTGTAATGACCTGACAAAGACAGAGAGCCTGATTTTTTGTTGTGTAGCTTTTTAGGGTTTAGACAATGTCTTATGACTTGGTTTTAAATGTTCTCTGATAACATATTAAACTCGTGTTAAATTACACGTTAATAACTGCAGCTTATAGCACTAAACTGCAGGTCATTATAAAGTGTGATCAAGTCAAAGATCCTTAACTGATGAAAGTGAATATAATAATGTGGAGAAAACTCTAATAGAAAGGATTAATGAACAAATCACATTAATTTATTTGCTCTTCAGGTGATGTAATGGGGAGGCTTATATCTAACCTCCAGACTGCTCTCCATCCTCTTGCTCTTCCTCCTCCTCCTCATTCTGGTAGTAGGATTTCCACTCCGCCATTTGTACAGCTTTGGCTCTGTCAAAGGATTCAGCCGTTCAGGACTAGGCAGGGGGCAGACCTGCATAAGGAGTAATCATACACAAAGCACTGAGTTAAATTTTTGAGTGATGTTAGATCATGTCTAACGTTAAATTGCCCTGCTCACAATCGGAGCTTATAAACTGTTTAAAACAGGCTGTGCAGTCTTCAACTTTCACAAAAGACGTAACTAACGTTACCTACGCAAATAAAAGTGTGGTGCTAGGCTAATCAGACAACAATAACTGTGCAAAGGACAAAGCAATTCACAAATATTAATACTGTTTAATTAAGATATTATTTATGTTTAACTAACGTTAACTGAAGTTTCAACTTTAACTTTACCCAGACAACGTTTACGTTAGCTAGCTAGCTTAGCTTGTAATTAGCCACTGTTCGGTATTTTGGGGTCACCGAGTTGACCAATGTATCTTTCTAATGATGCACACAAACTATATGGACTAAATGCATTACAACAATAACCTGAAGCAATATTAAATCACTAGAAGATCATTCCGCCACTTGCCGTGCTCTGCCACTCTCTGCCCACAAGCACACAAGTCCAGACTAGTTTCAATGGCTGGCGCGCTCAGGTACGTGAACGTGCACGCTGAAAAGCGTATAGAGCAGCTCGTCTATTGGTTACGTGTCTGCCAATCTAAAATAATGGCCAATCCTAGTGAAGGAGGCGGGATTTATTTACAACGACGCACGACACCGGAAAAGAGTGTCCTCTTCATGCCAAAGCACTTTTCTGAAAGTTTTGTTGTTGTTTACAGTGAGACAGTGTCACAGCACCAGCTGTTAGCACTCCGGCAACTGTCTCTAGGATATTTAAATATTTGTCACTTTATTACTTTTCATTTTAAATAGCCTGTGGCATATGCTTATATCCGTAAGAGCTCCACGGTCAACTTTTATTAAAGTTTTGCTTGCTACTAGCTAACGTTACCGGTGTCCTAGCCGGCCAGCTCTTGGTGGATGTGAGTCAGCAAACTTTGTGCTAGGCTAGCTGCTGTCATTTTGAAGAAGTCCCTTTTGTGTCACCATGGACCATAGTGGCGCTCACCCAGTGAAACTGTACGTTTACGACATGTCCAGAGGCATGGCCCGCCAGATGAGTCTCCTCATGCTAGGTAAGTTTCTGTCCAGCTAGGTTACGCCTTGGTTGGCTTCACGGGCGCAGAGATGCTCCTCAGGCCTGAGCTATGACTTTATTTATTTCCTGCTGATTTGATAAGGTAGTTGATCAGTAAATAAGATTGGAATACGTTCATTCTTATATAATTCAGCATTTCTTTTTCATCTCAGGGAAACAGCTTGATGGGATATGGTGAGTGCAGCTTGTTTTATAGAAGTCTTCTCACCAAATATGCTGCTAACTGTGGTGATCTACTTTCATTGTCCGGGTTTTATCAGAATAAGGTGTTTTGGTGTCTTATAGGCACACTGCTGTTGTGGTCCATGGAAAGGAGTTCTACTTTGTAGGAGAAGGCATCAACCATTGTTCACCCGTAAGAATCATCCTTTCCACAATACCTTTGCCACTTTTACTACTGTACAGGGACATGCAAATACTTGTGAAGGAAGTGTTTTCAACAAGGCATCCACTGAGGTGTGTATGTGTGTTGTATCCAAGGGTGGGAGCTCCTTGGGTGAGCCTGACTTTGTAGTGGACCTGGGCTCCACTGAGGTGCCTGAAGAGATCTTTATGGTGTACCTGACTTCACTGGGAGAGTCCACATACAGGTACGTAAAGGCTCAGACTCGCCACATACGTCCTGGAGGTCAGGGTGGGTCAGAGTCTCTGAGCCACTAAAGGACTTTGATAAGTGATAAACATGTCTTAAATGCTTTCTTTCAGAAAGTCTTTCAACACGTTATGAGAATAAACATAGATAAGCAATTAACAAGTGAAAAAATAAAAATAAATAACCCATAATTGTGCGAATGCATTGCTTCTCTGCTAACTTTACGAAAGCATAACCCACGCACTACAAGATATGATCGCCTGGTAGTTATGGGCCAAAGTGAATTTTCAATTTATCTAAAATGTCTATAAGAGATGTAGTGAGGGAAGGAAGGAACCAAAAAAGGAAATTGTCAGTTCTGTCTGAAGTGTTTCTTATCTTGTCTTTTCCTGCTACTCACCTGCCCTTCTCCACCCTGTCTGACCTCTCTGTCTTTTCTGTGAATGATGTCACCGTCTCCTCTCTTCACAGAGGTGACAAGTACAACCTGTTTGAGCACAACTGCAATGCTTTCAGCAATGAGGTGGCTCAGTTCCTCACAGGCAAAAAGATCCCATCGTACATTACGGACCTTCCTTCTGAAGTACTGTCCACGTGAGTCAACTCAGTTTAATAAGTGTCATACAGCTGTTCTTACGTCACCAGAACTCTTCTTATTTTTCCTCTTTGTATTTGTAATTAAGTTATCTCAGCTTATGTTGTCACAATACTAAACATTATGAATTCAAAATATATATTTAATTTCTTAAAAAAACAGTATAGCTGTTTGATACAAAACTAAATTGAAGCCAAGCTACATCTGCAAAATATACTGGTGTGAGTCCCTCAGAGGTGATTGCTTGGAAATAGAAGGGGTTTGTTTGTGTGACTCATTGTTTTGCACCAATGTTCCGCGATTTTACAGAGAGAAATCGATTATAGAAGAGATGGAGGGACAAAGTCTTAAAGATATATTAACTTCCAAGTAGAGGGGGTGCAGCCAAGGAAATGTTACATGCACCAACTAAAGTTAAAGTAGTAGACGCAAGTTGAAAAAAAGTAGGTATTGGAAAATAGTAAATTGCATCACTTCACCCCAAATATGTCCAATGTCCAATACACCTCAGGTTTAGGTATATTGGACATCCCAGACTGATGATGTGTGCATAGATGTGATGGAGGATTTTTCCTTTGTTCAGTTTCACTCATACCTCCCTGAATAGACAATATTGCATCACTGTGCATCGCATCATTTATAAAATATTAATATTACAAACAGTATTAAAGTAACATTCATTTTTAGTTTTTGTGACACTGTGACTTCAGTCAGTTATTTGTCTGTTTCTGTCTTCGCCTCAGTTGAAAAGCTGATTGTTAAGTTGTGCTTAATTTGTTTAGTTTTTTACCCTTTCCCTTCACTCTGCTCACATACCATCCTTTGTTCAGACTTTCTTTAGGCTTTTTGATTTCAACGTAACCGTACGATCTGCTGTGTTTCCTCTTTAGGCCTTTCGGCCAGGCTCTCCGTCCTTTACTGGATTCCATCGTCATAAATCCCGGAGGCAGCAACATAACTGGACAGCGGTAGACAGGGCTGTGCACATTAAAGAAAGTACTTCAATCCAGTGGTCGTTGAAGTGGGTGAGACTATCACCATCAGCCGCCAATGAGACTCTGATAACATCTCTGCCTGTGGCTGACAGGTTGATCTTTGCTATTAAGTTTCAAGTTCAGTTTCTGTTTATTCTATACATCTGAGGTTTTAAGGTGTGCCAACCACTGGTGCTAGGGGACTGAAAGAGTACATTTCTACTCTGGATGCAATCAGTGAGATGCAGCTACAAGTTTTTGTGTTCATAAAAGGAGAGTACGTCACCTGGTTTAATCATGTCCTCCAGATTTGTATTTTAAATTGTTATTTGAGAGGCTGAAGTGATCTCTTCCTGTACTGATACTCTTGATTGGCTTTTTAAAAGTCGATTAGGAAGTGTGTTAAAATTAGATTACCAGTACAGAAATGGATTTAAGAATGTTGTTCCCTTGGTATGTAACTTGGTTTATACCTTGCCAGCTCTCTAAAAGCAAACAGACTAATCCTACCTCAGCCATATCATGCTCTTACCAAACATCGGTCTTGTCTTCCACCCTTTTTGGTACCATATCAATGACCGCTGACAGCTCCTTGGGGAAGAGAGTGTAGTTTAATGCTTCTTATAAGATGCCGTGTTCCCTCCCATCACTTCACTTCCTAGTGGCCATTTACACAAGTTAGATGGAATTTACAGTTGTTATTCTCTCTCTTCATCATCAGGAAAGCTGTTCTTTACAATTTATCAGGAGAGAGATTTAAGCAGTAATGCTCAAATCTGTATTTTTAATGGAGCTTATAAAGGCTCCAAGGCTTTGCAGTCCTATAAATGTGTTACTTTAATAATGGAATAAAAAGAAATACACTTCAAGGTCTAGCTGGATCCAGATCTGCACATGTTCAGTTCATGGTGAAGCTAACAATGCTCCTAGATGCCACGATGTAACAAAAGATTTCTCTTAAAATCCAGAAACCGCACATGGGTCCAGATTATTACCAAAAAGTAGACCGTTGTTCAATGGTTCATGGAATTATTAAATTCCATTGCATACAAACAAACATACAAGACCAAAATGGTAACCTCTGTGGCAGAGATAATACTTCTTCTCTTCAGAAGCCACATTAGACCATTTATTCCCCCAAGGAGCTCAGGCTAATCTCAGTGTAAATTTTAGTGTAAATTAGTTTTTTAAGAAGTAGAGCTCTCAAACTCGCCACACTGCCGTATTCTACTAATCATTCATCTTTTTAACATGTTGTTTTTGTTCTTCTGGCCTTTCTTTGTATTCAGTGTTTTAGAAAACACAGTTTGACCAAATCTACGGGCCTGTCTTCACTAAAGAGATTCTGAGATTAATGCTTCTTTCAGGGACATCTGATGACCACACAGCATAGGATTGTTTTTTTAATATATAGGACCAATTTGTGCATCTTTTAGCTGCTTCACTTGCCAAGACTTAGAGTTTATTCAATTTATAAAGACAGATATGTCTAATAACCTTAAATACTGAAGTTTTGTATAGTTTCTATTTACATGATTAAGCCAGACATAATGAATTAGATTCACAGCAGGTGTTCTGCCAACAGCCACTTACCTGCATCACTGAGGGGCCATTAATCCCTCCTTAAAGAAAAACATTGCTGATGCCATCTGTGTCTTTAGTTTTACTCTAACTGACCTTCCTGAAAAGTTGACTAGGAATTATGGTTATTTTGAGAATAGTTGTTATTATTATTTCACCTAGTAGACCTATTAAATTGTCTTAAATATAATTTTACATACATGCACAAGGGCTCTCAAGTCGCTTATCATTCCCTTAAATTGGACTATATAAGGTCTTAATTTATTAATTTTTAATCTGATTTCATTTTACTTTTGCACTTAAGTGACCCTGTCAGGAAAAAGCCTATGCTAGATAAAACTTGCTTTATAGTGAACTGTCGTACTGACCTGCTGAGAGAAATCAACAGAAACATTCACGTTCACACATTATAAACATTGGTCTGCAAGTTGTCAAATGTGTGACATTTAAAACTTTGCTCAAGTTGTGATATTAAAATATCTTTTATGTCTTAACATATATGTGAATTGTTTTGTGTTGAAGAATGACTCATCACTGTGCGCACATTTTAACAGTGGACTATATGGAATATAAAGGAATGCATTGATGGTGCAGTGTTGACAGGACCACAAGATCTCTTGGCGGTAGGAGAGATCTGCCATTAAAATACAAGTGACTACAAATGCTTTGGGTTCATGTAGTATCAAGAACATCCACAGGGTGACACTACAGGCTCACGTGGCAGCTAGTTAACGCCACAATCGAACAAGGCAGCACATAAATGTGGAGTGTGGACATTTCTTAAATTAATGGATGAATTGGTGGTTAGTGGGACATGTTTGTTTTTGTCACTGCTTCAAGTCTCAGTTGGAAAATATTTCAAATATACAGTAACTCGTGTCACATTGTCTCTTAGCATTGAGGCATTTTCTTCGTCATTCCGTCTATTCAAGATCCTATCCTGTTAATAATTACAGCAGATATCTTTAGGTTTATTCCCATCAGTGACACACACTATTTACTATTAACAAAGAGATGGTAAACGTTATATATATATATATTTTTTTATATATATCAGCCACATTGACTAATTATGACGTTTTGTGGTGCTAGTAACTTGATCCCGCTAAGAGCTGCTGACTGCTGTCAAGTTGTCGTTTAGATTTTGGCTGCAGGTATTGTGTTCGTACAGTGTGACCTAATTAACGTGCCTGCTGCTTGGTGTGTTTTGCCCAAAAGTGTCAAAGGTCCAACATTTCTTTGATACAAACATGAGTCAAACCAAAGACTTATAGTGATTTTACAATCTTTAATATTTCATCTTTAAAAGTGGCATCAGTTACTAAACAATCCTCTGCAATGAACATTTCTAGATTACTTTGGGTTTAAATGAGTTGTTTTGCAATAAGAAGTACAGGTACATACAGTATATACACATTTTTGCTACATACTGTATATCACACCAATACACTTTGGATTTGCTCTGTTCTCTTATATATTATTTTATTAAACAGATACTTAAAGGTACTCCAAAACGATAACCTGCAGAGGTTTATAGTGCCAAAGTGGGATGAATTTCCTGCTTTCACTTGGCACAAAGAAACAATTTCTATTGCAGCTGAACAGTGACATGCCACTAACCTTACACAGCATTAAATATCATAGTCTCCCCAGCTTGTACAAACTAGCTTTAAACAAACTGCCGCATGCTCACAAATGTTTCACTGCAAATCAGATTTGTAGTCAACACTACTTGTTTCTGCACCGCATCCCATATATCAGTATTGTGTAATCACACAATAGAAACATCAATTTAGACAACCTGTCTGCTTTATAGTAGTTTTGTCCGACAGTACGTTAACTTGTGTTTTGCCACAAATGTAAAAACCCACTGCAATAATGTGACATACAGTACAGTACACCTACGTTATCATCCTCTACTGCACATTAGAAAATTGCACAATTCAGCTAATATAGATCTTTCTATGCGTCGTGTTCCATGTTACTAAAATCATTAACATGGAATAATACATTATGTTAAAATGTGACATCAACAGCAATTATAACAAATGCTCTTAGAATTAAAATGACTTAGTTCATACAGCCCTTATTCAAACAAAATGTATAGGAAATTCCATTACATAAACATATTTATACAATATTCATAAATAAAGCAGAACACATTATTTCCATAGACGTTGGCACTACATAAAACTTAAAAAAAATGTGTTCCAAAAGATTGACTCATAAATGTACACAAGATGTCAAACATTTATCTTAAATAGATGAAAAAAGTGGTTGGTTTCCTCTACAAAGACCAGAGAGGTACCGTTGTTTTAGGTGGAGAAAATGCATGATTTCATGTCAAGAAAAAACGTTGGAAGCACTTGTTCACGGCAAAGAACTAAACTTCTTTTGCTTATAAAAAACTGTCTCTAAACCAGCAGATCTCAACATTTTTAACTCACGGCATCAAGCATTGAGAGGAAATCATGCCTGCTGGGGATCATTCACTACATTGGTAATAAGAAGCGACGAGGAATTACCGACGTGGTGAGCTTTTGTGTCAATTTATGAGCAAATGAAAGGAGGAGAAAAGGCAGTGTACTCAGTGGAAGAGAGACAAGTGGCTGGTCTCTTGACCTCAGTGTCTTAATGTGATTGTGCTTGTTTGTGTTAGTGAATAAAAGAAAAAGGCTGAACATGCAGCAAGATGCTCATAAAACATCACCTGTGGAGACTTTGATGATGCACTGTGTGGTGCACTGTGAGGTTTGGGGGTCATGAGGAGTGTACGTTATTATAAGATGTGAATAGGGAATGTCTGGGTGTGACACCTCCACTTTACTCTGTTTGAACCAAAGTCGAACATTTGATTTTGTTGCATTTTTGGTATTTGGTTTGTCTATATTCACGCTGCTCAATTACTGTGATTGTCTTGGTGCAAAGTTAAACTGTAGATTTTGGCAGTGGGAGGGAAAACTGATCTATCTCTGTGTAGTTATCTTGTGCTACCTAATGTCATTGTTCAAATAAATTATTTGTATGATTTGACAAATTTCAGAAAGAATGTACGTTTAAATGAGTTTTGAGTCTGTGTTGGTCACAAAACAGTTTTCTTCAGGGAAGAATCTGGACTTAAAAAAGCAGATAATATATGTTTTTTAAAGCAGCTATAATCAATGTTTTTATAATAACAATGGATCAAATGACAACGTGTAATATGAAAGGGGTCACTTGAAGTGAAATATCCCCTTTGCAATTCCCCTCTACTCTGTAGAGTAGAGGGGAATTGCAAAGAGTTTCATTTTAGCATCTTTCAGCTTGTTGTTTTACTTTTCCAACCAGCAACTTCACTGTTTTGGTTCACTCTCACCACTCAGCAGGCAGCTGTTTTCAGCAAAACAAATCTCTAAAAGCCCTCTGTACAAGCAGAAAGACAAATTTAGCCACCAGCTAGTGAACATAGCGGAGCATTTAGGAGCAAAAGAGCTAGCAGCGACCAAACCAGAGCTAAAGGAGAGTGAATATTTGACTTATGCAGCACGTGGGCAGAAACACAATTCCAAATAAATCATAATGTTGCTGCATATCTGCTAAATGTGTAAATAACAACTGTTGTTCACATCTTGTTTCTGATTCCCCCAAGTGGCCCAAAAACTAAATCAGTGAATGAAGCTTAAAAAGTTATTGAGAACACAATGAGGCCAGACTTACTCGCTAACAAGTACTGCATCTGGGCAGATATCATGTTCTCTTTTGTTGCCTTGACGATTATGGTCGCTTACAGATGTTACACTTAATATACCTCATGATATAAAATTATTTGAGCAAGGTTAAGCCGGCAGCTCAGACGTGAGCTGTGGTGCAAGACTTATTGTGAGTGTATGAGATTGGGGAAGTCTAAGTTAGCACCTGTCTGTGAGTGTGTGTGTTTTAGTCTTATTTTATTTTTAATAATTTACTTTTTAATGGTTGTAATTCACATTTATTTATACAGTCCCCTCTAAAAGTATTGGAACGGTAAAGCAAATTCCTTTTTTTTTGTTGTTCACTGAAGACATTTGGGTTTAAGATCAAAAGATGAGTATGAGACAAGAGTTCAGAATCTCATTTCCTGGTATTTACATCTAGCTGTGTTAAACAACTCAGGAGCTACCACCCTTTGTTTGAACCCACCCATTTTTCAAGTGAGCAAAACACACTTGGAACATGTGACTGACAGATGTTTCTTGTTGCCCAGGTGTTGCATTTTAGGTTGATTGTCCAAACATTAAACAGCTCTGCGTGACTAGTCTAAGTTTTCATCCTTGGTTCAAACCTATAAAGACTGCATTTCCTGTTAAAGAGGATAAACCAACATGAAGACCAGAGAGCTGTCTATGGGAGAAAAGCAAGCCATTGTCAAGCTGAGAAAAGAAGGAAAATCAACCAGAGCCATTGGACAAACATTGGGCATAACAAGTACAACAATTTGGAATGTGCTGGAAAAAAAAGAAACTACTGGTGTACTGAGCAACAGACGTCCAACAGGTCGGCCAAGGAAAACAACAGTAGTTGATGACAGAAATATCGTGAGAGCTGTGAAGAAAACCCCTAAAACATCAGTAAGTGACATCACCAACGACCTCCACAGTGCAGGGTGAAGATATCACAATCCACTGTTGGAAGAAGACTCAGAGCAGAAATATAGAGGCAACACCACAAGATGCAAACCACTCATCAGCAGGAAGAATCGGAAGGCCAGACTGAAATTTGCAAAGAAGTACAGAGATGAGCTGCAAACGTTCAGGAACACAATCTGATGGACTGATGAGACCAAGATTAATCTCTAGCAAAGTGATGGAAAAGCCAAAGTGTGGAGAAGGAAAGGAACTGCTTATGATCCGAAGCACACAAGCTCATCTGTGAAGCATGGTAGAGGTAATTTCATGGCTTGAGCGTGCATGGCTGCTTCTGGAACAGGCTCATTAATATTTATTGATGATGTAACTGATGATGGTAGCAGCAGAATGAATTCAGAAGTGGACAGAAACATTTTGTCTGACAATTTACGTGAGAAACGCGTTGAAACTAATGGGGAGGAAGTTTATCATGCAGCAGGACAATGAGCCAAAGCACACTGTCAACAAAACAAAGGACTTCATCATGGGGAAAAAGCGAAAGGTTTTAGACTGTCAATTACCTGACCTTAACTCAATAGAGCATGCATTTCACCTCCTTAAGAGGAGACTGAAGGGAGAAACACCCTGAAACAAACAAGAATTGAAAGAAGCTGCGGTAAAAGCCTGGAATAGCATCACAAATGTAGAAGGGCTGGTGATGGCGCATAGATAAGATTCTTGCCTTTGGTGTGGGAGACCTGGGTTTGATTCCCACCACCCACCATTGTGTCCCTGAGCAAGACACTAGTAGTTGCACACCAGTAGTTGCTCCAGAGGCATGTGACCTCTGACATGTATAGCAATTGTAAGTCGCACAGTTTGGTGATGTCAATGTGTTGCAGATTTGAGGCAGTAATTGCAAGCAGGGGTTATGACACCAAATATTAAATGCACTTTACTTTAAGGTTATTTGTTCCATTACTTTTGCTCAACTAAGAATGCTGTGGTCTAATAAAAACGGAGATATGTCCTGAGTTGTTTAACACATCTAGATGTACGGAGGAACCAGGAAATAAAAGCTGAAATTCTGAACTCTTGTCTCATAATCATCTTTTCAACTTAAACCCAAATGTCTTCAGTGAACAATAAAAACAAAGAAATTTGCCGTTCCAATACTTTTGGAGAGGACTGTATGTATTTATTTTTATTCCATATTCCCTAATGGTTTGTGACTCACATGTATTATTCATGTATCTGTTTTTATTGTGTTCACATGTGTCTAATAGTTTATCTTTACACTATCATCAGAGTTTTTGTGGCTGCAACTTCCATGGTAGTTCACGCTCTGTGCAGCACATTGTGCTTCCACCTGGAATGAAATGTGCAAAATACAAAAAGTTTTGCTTGCCTGTGTGTGTGTGTGGTAGATATTTTTGCCTGACTTGAAATTCAGCTGCTAGAACAGCTTAAACTTTAACCAAATAAAAGGTTTAGCATCATAAAATCCTCTCTGCTCTTTCTGCAAAAATATTTCAGAACTTTACAGAAGCGTCTCCATAGACACATGTGCAATCATCGTTAACAGTCCACTTTTTGTGCAGTTCCTGAGGGTGTTGCAGCCATTACTTTCTCCAACATGTATGGTGGATGCGTTGCATTAACTGTTGCACGTTCAGAGCAGCAGCAGCAGCAGCAGCTCTGCACAGTGTCCTTTGCTGTCCAGATTTCAGAGACAAGATGAGAAATGTCTAATGCTCCAGGCCTGAAAATGCCTCTGCGAATTCCCCTGCAATGGCGCCAGGGGGCTGGAAATTACACACAGGCATCCACACACATCCCCATACTCTTGAATTATGACCCAGACAGTTCAGTAGTGAGAGACCCAGATCCACAGTGACTCCTTCCCTTTCCTTCCCCCGAGGAAGGAAAACACACAGCCATGTACGTTTGTTTTTCTATTTTTCTCTTCTCTCTCCTCCCTTTCTCTTCTTTTCTAAAGAGTCCCAGCCTCTGGCTCTTACTCTGTCCCTCTATTCCCTCCCCTCCCTCTCTCTGGTCGGGATGGAGGCTGATGGGAGCTGACATGATGGTGGCATTGTCCTCACCGTCGAGTTAATGTGACCCCGGGGAAGCTGTCCCTGTGCTCTTGGCCTGATGGCACAGAATGCAAAGCGCTTCGTTGTGGAAAGAGGGTGGGAGAAACTGAAAGGGGTGAGAGCAAAACAAGGAGAAAACAGCCGTGCATGGAGGTAGACTGAGAGATGCAAAATATTTGAGGTGTTTTTACAAGAAGAACAAGAGAGAATTAATCAAAGAACTGCACAAAAAGGCATCTACTGGACCTGGAAATGACCCAACAGCATTACCTTGAGATTATTTATGACTACATTGTAACTAAATGGTATGTTATATACTGTAGATGAGAAATGTCCCGCGTATCAAAACAAATCAAAATTTAAATGCCTCAAATTGAGATATCATACTCATGTTTTGAAATGTAACAATGTTTGTTTAACAAAATGTAAAATTGACTGAAACACAACCCTCGCTGGAGTTATGAAAGACTCCCAAACTTCTTAACCACCACTGCAAAGAATTTGAGTGAAAATACTGTAATGTGCCAGATGATAAGAATCTTATTATTCCATAATGTATCATAGAGATATATTACTTTAATTGTTTTTAATGTCTCTGCTCTAATTACCTTGCTAATGTACAGATCACTGTTGTTACATACAGTAGTGACTTAATCAATGTAGCAGGGTAGAACATTTTAGATAATATAATTATTTGCTTTCTTGGAGAGTTAGATGAGAAGATTGATACCAGAGATTAATATCAACTCTAACTCTGACGAAAGCCTCTGTCGAATGATTCCTTTAAGGGAGAGGGAGCAGTGGGTTTTGTAGGACGTATGTTTTATTAATGTGTTGCTGTTTCTATTGGTTGCCAATAATGGTAAAAGATTTTTAGTGTATCACCGAATTTAACTGAATGATTCCTGAGGTCTAACTCCTGTAGGTGAGCCACATAAATGCAACTTAAAGGTTATGACGCACATTTACATCAAATGCAGCAAATGGGAACAGCTGTATGTTTTGACTGAATGTCTCCTTGAATTGACAGTGTCAGAAAGTGTGGGCTCTGGCTGCAGTTTTTTGTCAGCTCCAGGCTCATTGTAGAGTGTTTTTAACAAGCCAACCTGACCACGAGCCAGCTTGGTATTTTGCAGCCACATGTGCCATTGACCTACTGAACTAAATGTAACAGGAGTTACATGGCTAACACAAACAAACTGTACATTCCTGCCAAATCTGACAGGGAACCAACGTGTACAACTTTACTGCAGACAAAATCAAGCTTGCACTTTGCTCTAAGAGCTGGCACAAGTAAGATTTTTGCTGTTCTGTCAAGGTCTGTACAACCAAAATGAAACCACACTGTAGTGTGAAACTGTACTGTGTAATATCTGAAGGCTGTGTGACATATAGGAGCCTGAGAGTGATTCTAAGCAACCTTGGTACATTTCCTTTCAGTTAGCTACTTTATATGATCAATGTAGAAGACCCCTGCTGGAGTCCAATAATAACCTTTACCAGCAGAGTCCATTGTCTGTGAGAATGGTGGTTCTGCTATGCTGTTTTTCTCTTGAATCTCACTGTTTCCACTTATCAAAACATCCCTTTTCATCTTGTAAATCTGAATGTGCCTCCCCATTTAACATCCCTCGCCTGTTGGGCCAACTGTCCCAAACTCTGGCATTTAGCAAACACCAAAGGTTTTTCTTAGTATGTTTAACACTGCAGCAGGCCGCTCTCTGAGGCCTTGGTGATCAGACGGTCACCTCAGTCGTACTGTGTGTAGAGTAGCTCTTCTGCCTGGTGTGGTGGTAGTAGGAGGGTTGTGATGGGTGCTGCCCCTGTATGTGCTGCCCCTGTATGTGCTGCCCCTGTATGTGCTGCCCCTGTATGTGCTGCCCCTGTATGTGCTGCCCTTGCCCTGCTCCCCCTCCAGCTCCTCCATAGGGCTGGCTAAAGAGATCCGGCATGTTCTCTATGCTCTGCTGCCTCCGGGTTGAGTAGCCATGTCTCCGGGTGGAGCTGTGTATGGAGGAGGAATGCCCTGGGGCAGAGGTCTGCCTGTGGACGTGGCGGCCAGTCGACTCCCAGTCTTTGAAAGCCGAGCTGGAGAGCAGCGGGTGTGTGGTGGTCTTGGAGAGATGAGAGTGCTCCAGGTGGCTGGAGGGGATGGAGATAGAGAGTGGGGCGTGGAGGTCGTGGTGCGCTGACACAGGCTGGTGGATGTATGACTTCTCCTTGGGCTGTACAGGCAGAGGCTGGAAGGCAGGAGGTGCCACAGGCTGGTACTGGGAGAAGTCCATGAGTGGGAAGCTCTTGTAGTAGCTACGAGATGCACTGTGCGCTGTAAAGAGAAGGGGTGGGTGAAGACAGTAAGTAAGTAAAAGTGACATTTATACCGAGCATTTATCAATAAGTTATAGGATAATTTCAGTTTATTACAACTTGGGTTGTAGCTTAGGACATAATTTCTTTCTCAGTTAACCGCTAAAATCTCTCAATATGGAGACATTGCTAAAATTAAGTTAGAAGAAGATGATGTGGGACAAGAAACACAAACAGGTTTGCCAGGTTAGCCAGATTCATTTGGAAGACAAAAAGTAATGTGAATGGTACAATTATTACCCCAACTGTCAGTTGTAAACATCCATTGACAGTTTACAAACCAACTTTGTGGTTCAACTTTGACCTACAATCTCTACAATTACTGTAGTGATTAAAATGCTATCAGAACTGATAGAAATGATTGCCAAAGATAGAAAAATAAAAGTTGGAATAATTACGAACAATGCTTTCATTTACTGCTCTCTTTGTAACCTTTAACAATTAGGCCAGTAAAGCAAACACGTTCTATATTTGATCTCTTTAAACTTGTTTACACTTTAGAGTCATTTTCAATTTGTCACAGTCTGATGCACTTCTGAGTCACATGCAGAAGTAGCCTAAAATGAACTGTCAATGTGCAAACACAGAGTCTGTCTCTGCAGGAACGCTGATGAATGAATCACACTTAATCCATGATGCATTTATGTTTCGACCTCCCGGCTCCAACCTGTCAGCAATGTCATCTTCTTTTGCTCCTCAAAGTATTTTAGAAATTTTTAAAGGGAGACCATGCCACAAACTTGAATTCATAAAACTCTTCCACTCTTGCTCTGTCTAACACACTTTTTTTTAACACACACTATTTTTTTTGGCTGTTTCAGCCTCACTTGATCTGGTATGACCAGTAGCTTGTGGTGGCTAATGTTGGCAAACTTTAGTGAGTTACTGTGGTGTAATTGACAGTTTGCTGACTTTATGACTCTTTTCTACTTGCACTATGTTTTAGCTTTTACTATTATACCATAAATGTCACTTTTGTTGCTATTTAAAGTTAAAGGTTAGTACCTAATAATAACAAGAAGACTACAACAGTTCACCTTTTGATGAAATGTGAACAGAGCGACAAGTTATGGAAAACAAGAGAGAGCAAGCAATAAATGAAGGTTGAGTAGGAAGAGGGGAAAATTTGAAGGAAGATACCTAAGGATAAAATGCAACAATATTATAGATAAAACAAGTTGACTGACAATCTTGTGGAAAAGTACAAAAGCAGTGCCTAGTGAGAAGGTTCAGTGTGAGCCATCAAAAGCAAAAACATAATTTACAGTTTTCACCCATTACAAATAAATGGGACTTTCTTGTCCAGAAAATGTGAAAGATAACATGAATAGAGAGACGCAGAAGAAGGCAAAGGATGGTCAGGATGAGAGGAAGGATTTGAAAAAGCTCAAAGTTGAAAGCCAGTGATTTAAGTAGCCTACTTCCAATTGATGCATGACCTCAAGGTGAATCCTCGTGGTATTCCTATTTTGCTGCCATACAGAGGCCAGAAGGCAGGGAGAGCGAGGAGGAGGAAAAAAGTGAGGAGTGTAATGGAGATGATGGAGGTACAGATAGTGTGTCAGGATGTGGGGACATACTGTGGCAATGAAGGTTTATAAATACCCTTGCCCTGAGTCCAGAGTGTGCACGTATATGTGTGTGTGTGTCATGGGCTAGCATGAATGTCACAGAAAATTATTTAAATAAACTTAAAACTGAGGTCATAGCCGCTAGCGTCCTAGCTACATGAACAGTAACCTTGTCTCTGTGTGTGTTTTCATCGTGTTTTGGGTCCACTAACAATAGCTATTTGTTTTTTTATCTTTTTTTCAAATGCTACTATTTTTTGCCAATGTTAATTCCATTACAAAGAAATAGTTACTAAAACTGATGCAAATGGAAAGTATGAAAAAGAGGTGTTCATATGAAGTTGAACATTATTTCTGAATGTCCTGTTTGCAGACCTTAGGTAAGGTTGGAGATGGAGTTTTACAGTTTCTGACAGTTTGGAGGGTATTTTTAAGGGCCTTCCCCCCAATCAAACAGTGTGTTTATCTGCTCTAATGTAATCAGTAAACTTTAGCATGTCCCCTTACTTCTGAAGCCAAGGATTTTATCATCAGCTAACTGCTATTTTGTGGGGTTACAGGTTTAGGACTGACTAATTCACAGTGTGGGAGCTGGTCTTGATACTGCATCAGAGTTTAGGTTAATATTAGCGGCTCTGTCCTGCTCTTATTTAGATTTGAGGAGCTTTAAGCAACCCCTACTAAACTTGTTACCAGAGATAGGGTTACGCTTGCCACACGTTTGTTGACTAGTCATTACAGCCTTTTCTTTTGTAAAAATGAAACTTGTTTTTAAAAATACGAAAAATAAAGTATTTAAATCAACATATGTTTTTCTATACTAAGCATCCATCTGTCCGATCTTATGTTTTTCCCTATCCCCCTTCCTTCTCCTGCAGGAGGCTGCAGGCAGGGAGGCTGATTGGGCTGGGCAATCACCTGTGCAGCTCTACCTTCAGAGCTTATTTAGCCAGGACTGATCAGTCTTTTGTCTCTCTCCTCCTAGGCTGACGTCCTACTGGGTTTGTCTTGTGTTTCTTCTTTGGTTAATCCTGACAACACACACATACACATCTCACTCATCCAGTCACTGCTGACACAACTGATAGTCATACTTTGCCGCACCACGTATTATTGGTGATAATTTGATTCTTCTTTTACTTTTATAATAAATCATACCATTGGCTTGCAAACTGTTGTGTCTCACCTCCTTTTTGTCACGGGCTAAGAGTTGGCTTGTGACAATACTATGAACCTAGCTAACATAATTAAGCATGCATGTAGCCATAAACTTATATTTAAGACCCTTTAATTGGGTTCTTGTTTTGTAAAGAGTTATTGGAGGTATTAAAATGTCACCTGGAGATGGCGTTTACAACCAACTCATGAAGCTAACAATTACCTAGCATCTAAAGGTCTGCCAGTTGTCAATTCTAAAAAAAATCTGACAGCTTCAGCTGATGAAATCGATAGTTGCTGGATAAAATGAGATGAGAAAATGTTTTGTCTATCTCTGTCTGAAACTAAGGACCTGTTGTTTCAAAAATAACCTTGAATTTTGTGTGGTAAATGTGACACTGTTTTCATTGTATAATGCAACATGTTCCAGACTAGATTGGAATGCTTGACAGGTGTAGCAGCAGTAATTAAGGGGGAAGTGGTCTAGTTAATGGTCAATTACTTATTTAGTGCCCTTGACCGAGGAGCCTTACCTCAGGAGCTAAAGCGTGTCCATCTGTAGTAGTCTTTACTCCTACACCCATGTGTAAATCTACTGTATGTACAGTATATAGAGAGGGCTGTTTCTAGAAAATTACCCTCATGATCAGTCAACCTTGCATGGAAAATAAAGGTTAAAAAATGGACCTTGACAAGCAATGATTTGCCTTTGGCTCACTGGTAGACGATTGTTTTGCTCTAATGGCATACCTGGGGCTGAATATAATTCTGTGCACTGTAACACCAACTACTATTCACCATGTGTGTGACTTTTGGTGACATAAACGGTCTGTACAATCACCTGGTAAAAGCCCTACAGCCTCTTTTCCAGGCTGTAGTAACTTTGCATCTACTGTACATCAAAAATCTCAATCTCTAACAAAACCACATCCGGAGGTATCATAAAAGTACAGTGAAAAAAATATTCAACTTGTGACCAAAAGTATTTTGAAAATGATTACATTCAAGAAAGCTGTGCACAAAGTAAATGATGTGATGTAACAGATTTGTGTCCATTCATGATTCTGTAATATTGTGACCATAACCGATGTGTGTGCTGCATAATATAACTGACACATCTATTAAATGCGCTTAGCATTGTGAAAGTTTTAGTAAAAAGTAATATAAATGCCATGGACAGTTTTCACTCCATTGAATCGGAATTCTTGAGGGAACTACAACTTTACACTTGTTTACACTTACAATTTGGACACTTAAATGAAATGGGGAAATTAAATAAATGAATGTGTAGTAAATATTCTGTAGCAAATAGTGAGGATGAGGCTTTGTTACATTTAATACATACATTATACAGCTCTGTCCTTGGCAATGACCTGTACTGTTAGCTTAGACGCAGCTAAAATATTGTTGCAAAGTGATCTTTATAATAATAATAACAATAATGTTACTGACAATTAAAACAAAGGTTTCAGAACTATAACTCTGATTAGACAGTTCAGTAGGCCATTAAGGAACTTTGGAGAAAGTCTACTGAGTCTACTGTGGAGGAAGACTTGGATCAATCACATTTAGAGACAATTACTATTATCTCACCAATCACACCACGTTGCCTGATAGGAACAGCGTCGGCTCCTCTTTAAGATCAAGATTAGGCCAAGAGGCTTAGAGACTCTCATCAGTTGACAGCTCCTGCACTGCCAGCCCACTGTACTTTAAAGGTTAGTGTGTCAGTTGGAGTCAGCATCATTTTGTGTGTGTTTGTGTGTCCGACTTACCCACAGCTTTAAGGGAAGAGTATTTGTTAAGTCCCACTGTGCTGTGGTTGCTGTGTGGGTGTGGAAGCCCTTGTCCAAATGGCCCATAAGCTGAGTTATTCAGATGGTACTGTTCTGTTAAGAGAGACAAGCAAAGTGAAAGAGGCAGTGTCAGTTGGTGGTGATTACAGTATCGTTCCAAAAATAATAATGCTTTTTTCAACCATAACCACAACCTTCCTTAGTGTTGTAAAAATGATGTAAGAATACTGTCGCCACATGCAGATAATTAATACAATTTAAAAATGCAGGCATTGAACCATGGCTGTATTAACCCTTCAGGTAGCTCTGGAGCGGAAATAAGTTGCGGGGCCCTACTGACCAACAGTTCCTTCCACTCTGTGCAGTCTGTTAGCACCCGGTCACCTTCAAGTACCCAGTATGTCATGCCTAGGCCCTTTCCTTGTCTGTTACCACTTCCTGTTTTGTTTCGGTTACTCGTCTTGTGTCTCGTTTCAGGTCGTCATCTGCCTTCCCTCCATGTGTGATTACCTGTCCCTGCCCTAATGTGCTTCACATGTGTCTCATTGTCTCCCCTCCCTCGGGATATATAAACCCACTCTCCCCTCATGTCTTTTCCAGATCGTCTTGTTCCTTGTGACAGAGTTCCAGCCTCTTTCCTAGTGATATTCCCCGTCTAGCCTGTGAGTTTTGACTTAGCCTTGTTTTACAACCCTGATTCTTGCCTTGTGTTTTTGGTACTACTATACTATCCTGCAACAAATCTACTGCTTGTTTTACCTGGAGTCGTGCTCTTTGAGTCCATTTCACAGCTTCATTATAATTTGCCTTCAGCCCCAGATCCAACCAGAACTCCTGAAGTAATGCGTATGATGTGTGTCAGTTGATCTGGAGCTTGATTACACACATTTGGGAATATGCGGCATGTTGGCACAATATAAACAAAAAAAAAAAGGTATTAAAACTAGATTTTGACACAGGGCCCCTCCACAATACAGGGCCCTCATCATTTCAGTTTCACTTTTCTAATGGTTTATATTTCTAAATAAAATTGCAATAAAGTCACAACTGAAAACAAACCAACTGACACACAGTCAACCTGGGACTTCAGGGGGACGCCAGGAGCCCAGGTGCAGCTGCCTGGTCAGGAATCCAGAATTGCATTAGACAATCAGAAACATTGTCAATGAACAGAAGTCAGGGTTTTACAAAATTGTATCAACTGTAAGTGTGGTGAGGGTGACCAAGGTTTCAGCGTGGTTAACTGGTGGTTATAACGAATTAGGTTTTATGAAGCGTCATACTGACACATCTGAAGGCATAGAGGGGAGCAAGATGTGACAGATTGTTCAAATGGGGATAACAGCATACTCTTTTTTTAATAGTGTTTCACTCATAAAGTAACTGTAAATTATTGTGTGAAGAATAAAAAAGAGAGCTGGAGAAAGAAGTTCAATCCTTGTATGCTTTCTCACCTTCGCACACCTCGCCAGTTGCTGCATGAAGTGAGTGTACAATGTCGGACGCAACCCCCAAATGTAGTTTGAAGCACACTGACACATCAAGCTGAAAGTTGGCTGTTGAAGCTGCTGGGCTGTCATTAAGCATCTGTGTCTGAAAATGATCTCTTCATCTGTGGAAATCACAGTGATTACACTTTTAGTGCTGGTTTTTCTTTTTATTACTTTACTTACAGTGCCATTTATTCGCCTTGTGAGACAATTTAAAGTGTTCAAAGTGCAGTAATAGTGGTTGGCTAATTTACTTTGTTAGTCTTTCCAGGATTATTTTTGGGTTGTAATACAGCACAAGCAGGTGAGATGTGTGTGACTGTTGTTGGTGGGTGCAACTTTTGTTTTTTGATACTATTATATAGTAATAGAGGAGAGAGATGCGGCCTGGTCCAACCCGTTCTCACTCCCAAGTTGTCACATAGTCAAGAACCGGCCCACCAGCAATAATAAAACAAAATTGATAGCGGATGGTGCTGAAATAGATGTCAGTCATAGCAGCTACAGTTACTCACACAATCGCTTCCTCTCAAGTGATTGTGCCTACAAAATAAAAGTGCAAGAACATTTTTTGCAGCAATGCTTTATGTCGAGTTTATTGAGAGCTTTTACTTTGAAGAGTTCTGCAGGACATTCAGTAGAGACTCTGGCTTGCTTGACACACGTCTGAAAAAGCCTTGAGTAAAGGTGTGATTGGATTACCCTGAATTTCCTCAGGGAAATGAAAATAAGCGTCCATAGGTTTTTGAATCCAGCTCAAATGCTGGGAAGCGCACACACTGCAGCACATGCTTTATTGTGAGCATGTGCAAAAGTGTCCTTATAATCAATTTGTTTAACAAGGGAGAAAAAAAAATATCCACAACTAGTTGTAATTGATCTTACAACCTTCCTAACGGGAGTCCCACACAGTACCAACTGAGCTAAGCACGTACACGAGTATACAAGGATTTGAAATAATTTGACTTTGTTCTGGCCTGCCATGTAACGGCTTGAAAAAAATTTGGCCCAATGCCAGACTTATTTGCTGACCCCTGCCGTATTGTGTAATTAAATTTAATGCTAAATATAGGGGTAGGATATTCAACAGAAAGGTCTGAGTAAGGGAGTAAGGATGTTGACGGGTGGGCCAGAAACCGGACTTTCAGTCAGGAGACCAGTGTTTGTTCCCCGTGTAAAACAAAAAGTCAACACTGAATGTTTTTATTTAAGTTATGCACATAACATTACATGACTTACATAAGTGAAGTAACGTAATTAATATTGTTATTTTAAGCTAAACCATGACCTTTTCCTAACCCTAATCAAGTGGTTTTGGTTCCTGAACCTAACCAAATTGCAACGTGCCGTTTCACAATGTTAACTACTAGTTTTATTTTGAAAGTTTAACCAGACTTTGTATATTTATTGTTGTTAACTTGACTGGATGTTGCATACTTGTCGTCGCTAACTTGACCATGGAGCCCCACGTTGAAAAACACCAAAGGGGTACCTGTTAAAAAGCATATGAACAAACATCCATATGTTACGAGTTGGGAGTGAGAAAGTGTTGCAAGGTCAGAACTGGGGACATTGTGGTTCACCGTTGGTATGGCAAGGGGGACACCTTCAAGAGCAACTTTATACAGTACACATGTGGTGACTTTCAAAGGGGGGCTGAGTGAAGTGGCAGGAGGCAGAGTTAGGGGCCCAAAATGCAGACAATGACGAGGAGGATGCAGTTAAAGATTATTTATTTTCTGAAAATAAAACAGGCTTACGTGCGAGCATGAGTCCAAACACAGAGGTAAAATCCATCAAAGGCAGAGTAATCCAAAAACAAGATAATAATCCAGAAAACCCGTGGAAACAGAGCACAGGGCAAAACACTCAACATTAGACAGGGACGCAACAAGGACTGAACACAACTGAAAGCAATATATACTGGAGTACACCACACACACTCACACAAGCAGGCAGGGCCATTAGTCACAGGTGAGACACATTAGGAATCAAAGCAGACAGGAAACAAACCTAGACAAAAACACCAAACACCAACGATTACAAAAAAAAACAGGAAGTAAAGCTAGTGACACAAGGACGAGTATAACAATATACATCAGAGAACATGAAACAAGAAACAACAGAACCTAAAAGAGAACACAGAGGCAGGGAATGAACACTAACACACACACTAAGAAGAGTCTGAACAGGAAAATAATGCCACTAAAACCCAAAAACCACGGGGACGGCACTGAGAACTTCAGGTGGGCGGCCCGAAGGCAGGGCAGATGGGACATGACAAGGACTTCAGGCGGGTGGCCCAAAGGCAGGGCAGAAGGGGCATCGAGAACTTAAGGCAGGCGGCCTGAAGGCAGGGCAGAAGGGGAACATGAGATTTCAGGCGGGTGGCCCAAAGGCAGGACAGATGGGGAATGACAAGGACTTCAGGTGGGTGGCCCGAAGGCAGGGCAGAGGGGGCACATGGGACTTCAGAGGGAAGACCTCGAGGATAATCCGACAGGCTGAGCAGGTCAGGAGGAAAGCCTGGAGGTTTGGCCAGTAGGCCAAGCAGGTCAGGGGGTTGACCAGGGGGCAGAAAGCAAGGGTAGAACCCCTCAAGGACCCTTGCAGGAGGCCGGAGGTCGACGACCAAGACGAGACCTCTCTGGACGCTGGGCAGGGCGCCGGCAATAAGGGTGGATACTCTCCAGAGGCCTGGCTGAAGTCCAGTAGTGAAGCAGCAGAATAGGGAACCAGGAACAAGGCTGCAGGGATCAGGACTGGTGTCTGAGCACCAGGGCCATGAACTGGTCGGAACCAATCCAATCCAATCCATTTTATTTATATAGCACATTTTAAAAAACAAAGGTTTACAAGGTGCTGGACAAGAAATAAAACATAAAAACACATATGAAAACACTTAGACATAACACAAGACATAAAACAACATAAGTACACATAGTTCTCATGCTGGGTTAAAAGCCAGGGAATACAAGTGAGCTTTAAGACAGGATTTAAAAGATTCGAGGGTCAGGGCTTATTTCACCAGGTAGCTCATTCCACAGTTTAGGGGCTGCTGCTGAAAAAGTGGCGTCGCCCCTGGTTTTTAACCTGGTTTTTGGAACGACCAGCCAAAGTTGATCAGTTGACCTAAGTGACCGTGAGGGGGTGTAAAAATGTGTGATGTAGTGAGGTGACAGCCCATTCATTGATTTAAAAACAAACAATAAGATCTTAAAATGTATTCTAAAATGGACCGGGAACCAGTGTAGCGAGGCCAGGACTGGTGTAATGTGTTCATGCTTGCAAGTTCCGGATAAAAGACGAGCGGTAAGCGTGAGAGAGAGGTTTGGTTAACGCCAATGTAAAGTGCATTACAGTAGTCCAGAGGAGTTGAGATAAAAGCATGAATCACATCTCAAAGTGCTTACGAGATAAAACAGGTTTAATTTTAGATAAAAGCCTCAAGTGATAAAAACTGGATTAAACAACATTATTTATCTGTTTATCGAGTTTAAAATCATTGTCTATTTTGACACCCATGTTTGTGACTATGGGTTTCGCATATTGTTGCAGGTAGCCCAGGTCAACAGGAAGGACATCACCGGACCATCGACGGAGACCTTGAGGCAGGAGTCGGTCAGACCACCGGCAGAGACCACCCAGTGGCACTGGGCAGTCTACATACAGTATCTTGGGGGTTAGCCAACCGTGGTGCTGTTGAGCTGGGCCGCGGAGACTCTGGGGTAAGGGGTGGTCGAGCCTGCAGATGACTTGGGCAGCCGTGATGGCCACGTCTCCTCCTGTGACCACCACAGGACCCGGGGGAAGATGGCCAGATGGGTCCCCACGTGTAACAGTGAAACTAGCCGTGCAGGAAATAAGACGGTGGCTAGCCGCCAGAACGTGAACGCTAACAGGCCGGGAAACAGCCAAATGGAAACTGGATAGCATACAGCTAGCTGATGTAGAGTCAGGCAGGTGGATGCCGGCTAGCTGGTTGCTAGCTGCTGGCTGGAGGCTAACAGGCGAGGTGTCACGTCACGGGTGTTCAAAAATCTGCCCACCCAATCTGGTAATTGAACCTGCAGCCAAGATTTGGAGGCTACCTCCTGGTGTGCCTTCAACAGGGCTGCTTGCTGGGACTTAACACAGTCAGCATTCCTCCATTCTGTGGCAGGAGGCAGAGGTGTTGACCCAAAATGCAGACACTGACGAGGAGGATGCAGTTTAAGATGATTTATTTAATGAAACTAAAACAGGCTAACGTCTGAGAATGAGGCAAGAGTCCAAACACAGGGGTAAAATCCAACAAAGGCAGAGTAATCCACAAACAAGGGAATACACTAGATTGTGCGCTGTGGAAGTGTCACACAAAATGCTGGATTAGCATGAGTTAAAACAAATCTCCCTTTTACCTCGAGGCTGGTGACTTTGGGTGAGAGAGCGTTCCCAACCCTGATGGCCAGCCAGTCCCATGCTAAATGAACTAAGGTTAATGAACAAAGGAACGAACTAGCAGAGAGAGTGAAGCCCTGGCTATTAGCATAATGAACTCCACTGATGCATCCAGCAAACTTGATGTCAGCCCCAGGGATAGATGGACACACAGGCAACGCTCACGAATATCCACACTGACACACACACCCAGACAACATGCTATATAAGGTTATTTGGATGACAACAAAATCAGTGGTAATTAGCATTATTGTTTTAACGTATTGTACCTATAAAATGTGTGTTTGTGTGTGTCAGAGCCTTTTTGTGTTTAACTGACAGATCTTTGATTGAATGAAACAGTGAAGTGTATTGATATGCTCACCAATCTGATTTGCCATGCACAAGACAAGTCTATTTGTGTGTGTGTGTGTGTGTGCGCGCGCGTGTGAGCAGCAGAGTGTCACACTGGGAAAAGCACATCATCAGAGACAGAATATTTCATCACATCTGTGACTGTCACTGCTAAGAAAGAGGTGTACACGGCACAACTTCTGAATACTAATCACTGCACGCACACACACAAACAGGCACAGAGTGAGGGAGTCATGTATGCTTTAGATGACAACCAGATGCTGAGAGCTGGTGAAAGAGAAGAGAGAGAAATATGGAGGATGG